ACTTCCCAAACATTTCCTATCGGCAGGCAGAAACACTTTAACCTCATTTTGATACAAAACTAATTAGAACAGAAACAAGGTAGCATTGCCATTGACCTGTCGAACAGGCATCTCGACTAGCAACACGGCTGTTAAAAAGAGTCTCTGTTGGATCTTTGAGCAAGCTCAGACATTCGCGGGCAGTTATTTTCAGAACAAACATTAACAATATTGCTGTCTTTAATTGGGTCTATTTTGTTGTAACATTTTGTTCCATAGATAATTTTTATACACTTCCTGGACATGGGAAAAGCGGAATGCGTTAGTAAGGTTACTGAAATTGAAAAGTCGTTCTCAATTTCGCCAACGAACTCGAAGAGGTTCGACAATAGTGTTATCATCATGAACAGACTGATTTGGATTGCATCCCCGATTAATGAGAGTCCCTTTGAAAGGTTTGGACCGTTATTGCCATTCTGCCCCGTTACAATGATCAGCAAATTTCATGATCGGCTCAAGCGTGAATGCGTTAGACTTTTGAAAGCCAAGCACTTGATAGCTGAATACTAGATTCCTTTACCACAAAATTTTACCACGCGAACATTTTGTCGAGGGACCGTAATGTTATTATATCGAAATCTATGTAGATTGTACGGTAACTGTGCACAAGCGCATATCGCAGAAGATCGCTGAGTTGCGAATGCATATAGACACTCCTGATGTTTCCGCTCTTCACTTTTCGATCCTTCTCCTTAAAGGGCGTCCTCGATGTCATACTCTAGGAATCTTACATTACCTAAATATGTCCACAATGTCCAATTGGCAAACTATGCCAATATCGCGCAATTATCAAGGATGCTTATCGACAGATCAAGGATGCAGAACGATAATACTAACGTTTGGATTACGGTAGACTGTCGGCTGTACCGCGCATGTCGAGTATACGCCATATTCGATGAAAACGATCAGCTTATTTCGGGTCCGGAATTAAGAATCGAAGATTCAGAAGTCTTTAAACATTTTGTGAGATGTGTTTGACCTTATTAAGTAGCCCTGAAGTTACGTTGAGGTTCGGATAATCTGTAAGATAATCAGATACCACCAAGCCAAAAATGTTGCACAGAGAACGCAAGCGGTGGACTGCAGTTTTCTTTTGCATGGTACTCGTATACAACTGTTCGGACGCCTTACCAACGATGCTTTTGTATAGAATGGTGGATCAGGATTTATCTTGCAGTAACGTGGGTCATTTCATCTTTGGAAAAAAATTAATTTCACGCAGCGATTTAGCCGTTCGCTAGTAGAATCCTAGCTTAATAGAAAACAGTAATTATACTATTTTTCTTTCAATATAAGGTTTTCCATAGAATCAATACGTTTTTAATTTCGTTTTAACTATATTGGTTTTTAGTCGACTAAGGTTTGCCTTTAGGAAAATCAAAATCCAGATCAGTTTTTCAGTTAAGCAAACTTTATTTGCAGGTGATAAAAAGCACACAAGAATAGAGATTTTGCCGGATTCCCATTCTATCCGCCTATGCGCTGTATAGAAGTTCACTTGCGGCACATTCCATCCGATATATCCAATGTTTCACGTGGTTATAGCTTTAATTGTATGAATTAGCGGATCAAATTAGTATAATAGCGGTATTGCTTGACCGGTATCGTCGCAGTTAAGGTTCCTATGCACGTCTGACAGCATTATGTGGTGCGATATTAGACATTTTTGGAATCAACAAATTAAGATCAAGCAGACAAATAAAAAATTCATAGATATTATATTAAGACGTTTTTTTTTTTATTTCAAGCGCATCGTTAGTAAATACTGTATGACTTACAGATATATTACATACAAATTATTTGCATGCTTAGTAACGCAACTGTACATAACATAAAATATGGACTGTGTATTTTGTCGGTGAGAAATTATCTTAATTATACGATAAATTCAAGTTCGTGTGCAAATAAATACGTTCTATTATACAAACTGTGGTCCGTAGAGCCCGATGTAAAGCATCATGACTATAACGGAATTGACACAGATTCAGTTATAATACGCACGGATATAGCCATTGAAAAATGACATTTCAGCCGCTCTATTTATAAGAAGTGCGAGCAGATGTCCGACCCCTGTAAACGGGCTATTGCCTCTATTGATAGATTACTTCTGTTTCAGAGGGAGAGGGAGCGTATGCGATCAGTAGAGATCGTAGGAATATCGAGTTTTTTTAAAAATCGCCAGTCGGAGCAATAGTTTACTGCACTGTTTTGCCCATATGGTCTACATTTACAGAGTAATATCCAGCGACTCTATTCGACGATGTAACCGAGCCCACGTAACTTAGAACCTGAAGAAGCTGCTGGATCAGCTTTTGTCCTGCTTGTGCAACTTTTTTGGGTAGAACATGCTGCCTTTATCTATTTTTTTTATTTTCTTTTATTTTTTTCAGTTGGTTTTCAATTTTATTTTTCAGTTGCTACGCTATATAATAAGCATATAATATGATCCATGTAGGGAAAAAATGTGTATATTTGGCTGTTTATTAAGGTTTTATTAGAAACGACTGCACCTTTCGCTGCACACCTGCATGCTAGAGTAAAAGCGAGCGTATATGAGGCAAAATTCGATTTATTATTCGAGGTATTTTTACACTATGTAAGCACTATCCACAATTCATTTCGATTTGAAAAATTCCCGGCGATTTTCGCGGTTTCACACTAGCGACTGCGTGGCGAATGCGAGCAGTGGTCAGCCAGCAGTTAGCTCCACTTTCCTAGACGTTATATAGCATAAATTAGTATTATTCTTGCTTACGTAGTACTGAGTCATAGCTGTTTATCAAGAACGATTCTTTCGTTTCTGATTTATCCCACTGTTGCCTTCGTCGTTACTGAAATATCATACTGTTGGGAAGATCAAGGCGAAGTTTCGCTGCTATAAGCAGCTATCGAAGGAAGAGTGTACTTAATGTAATCGAAAATGAATGTCTGCTTCAACTGTATGATAGGTGTGTGTGTCGTCGCTATGCATGTTAAGCTTGTCAAGTGACGATAAAGAACTACCAACATAGAGCAGCTTATAATTACTGAACATTGTGTTTGTTGCAAATTCTGTTGCAAAAATTGTTGCAAAAACAAAGTCTGCTATAAAGTGTGTCTTACAAATGAACACACAAATGAACCCATCGAAGCGCAGGGGCAACAATAAAAAATGAAATTTACCACTGCAGTGTTGAGCTTGAGCTTACTGGGGAGCCAACTTCTTATGTTTTTTTGTGCAAAATTGTTCTCTCTACCATTCCAAGCGCAAAATTGTGCTAGGCCTACTTTCGTGCATCCACAATTCCGACTGTCCTAAAAGTTGAAACTTTTTATTGGGCTTTTATGTAGAATGTTACTTATGTGTACTCGTTCTTACATTCAATAATTCAAATGACATAAAAAGCATTTTTTTAACTGATGACATCTCGTAAGCTGCCTTCGCTTACATTAAAGGAACAGGTAGGGTTCGTTTCCACGTTCTGATATCAGCTGACACTTTTTCTTTCTCACAAATATTAATCTGAGTGCCTCTCAGTTTAGGCTATACCCTAGAGTCACTCTACAAATATATTTTTAAATTCGCTCGTTTGTGTTTATGTAAAAATACCACATCTCACAATAATACAAATTAAACTTGCGGGACATATCTAAACGTTTCTGAAATGTCAAATGAATAATTTACGAAATTCCCTTTTTTATATCAGGTAAAGATGAAGGGTTATGATGTATTAGGCTCATTAATTTAATCATTACGATGTCGGTCCCGCTGGTTGGCGTAAGTACAAAAACAACAGCCGACTTTAGCTGTGCGCATAGCTGGCACACGTGCAAGTTTTGTGGATAGTATCACTGAGAAACGTTCGTGTTGTGATAATGGCTGGTGAGCTTTCGATAGCGACGAAATTAGTTCCAACACTCCGTTTATCGTCACCAGTGTATTTTCTAGTGTATTCACGAAGGCCATACCATTCAAAGCATTTTTCTTGATTTACCCTTGGCTTAAAGAGTGTGACAATCTCCGATTCTGGACTCTTTGAAAACTACTACGCAAGCTACAAGGCACGTGTGTTTAGCCTTATAACCACGCAACCCCCAGAAAAATGTCTCTCCATTAGCGCTGTCGACGTATTTATAACTCATCATGATCAAGGTGCCTTTTTCGTTAAGAGATATCTGTAAAAATTCTTATGCCCGTATTGCGAAATTAGCGCACACGATTTATCCCTATCAGGTTTATGATACCAGCCTTATTACTGTTTAGTTCGTCACCAAGAAAGTATGCCATACCTGCAGAGGACGACTAAGTCACTATTCATTGCCAAATTGCGTTACAGCTGTGCAAGGACTTTTTTGTACCAAGCAAACAGACGGCATCCGCAGTCATGATCCGGGTCTGTTTTCCGAAAAGTTCCAATTGTGAGAGTGCTCATCGTTGAGGCGAGGTGGTAATTAATAGAGACCCATCAGTGAATATTAAGTTGTATGGCTTATTAACTCAGAAAAGAAAATGAGAATGCTGTGAAATTATTTACGGGTCCTAATTATTTTTTGTCCTAACGCAGCATGTACCAGGCCGAAGTATTCCTCCTAAGTCAGATGGATCCAGGTGACGTTTAATGCTTCAGATAATTAACCTTGAAATTTTGTAAAAAATTCTTGTTTGCAAGTGCCTTACTAGTAACCTGCGAAAAGCTTTGACTGAGGATTTCACGAGTGTCTAATGTTGCAGCTTAACATAGCTCTCATCGAGGTCACGATTTTGCTATAAAAGTTCTTCTAAAATTTGCTTGGTCTGACCATTCTCCTTTTTTAAAAATAATTACTTAAGAAAGGAAAGTAAACAAAATTACACAAAACCTTTCTTCTATTATATATATATATATATATATATAAACCAATCTTCTATTATTTTATATATAATAAAATACGATTCAACTGCAGTTCCTATTTTCCTAGTTTTATTATAGAAAATACTGAAGGTTAAAAGCGACAAGCGTACCATATGTTCTCGTATGAACGTGATAATATAGTTAAATGCAGCTTTGCTTGGCACCTATGAATGGATGTGCTTCCAGTACTGTCTGAGTTTTGTTGGATCGCAGTGATGTTGAACAAGGAGATCTTTCTTCAACCTATATAAAGTTCTATGGTCCGGTTTTTCGCTATTGATAACATTCTCTTTTGGCATCGCGCAACGTTCAACCCCAGCTCGTCCAGCGACCAATCCTGTTATATACAGATCCTCAATGAATAGAAAAGCCGGATCAAACATATGTTCATGTATTCGATTAAGCGCAGTTTCTGAAAATATGTAGAAAAGCCCTTGTAGATAGGGTGGGTATGTGTCCGGGAAGTACTCATCTTTCGTCACTTCAGTGTGATTACATACCGCCTTTCTACATCGTAACGGTTTTGCGTTTGTTAATTGGCGGCCGTACAAATTGCCGTCTGTAAAGTGATCCAGGTATGATAGAAGACGAGGCGTATGAATGAACACGTCATCATCTGTCTTAACGACGACTCTACGGGCAGGCCAACGGGACTTTTTGGCCCATTGAACTAGAGCGATAGATTTCAATGTTAAGTTTCGATAGTTATCGACGAAATTATTTTGCAGTACATCACCGTATGCTTGGGCTTCGAAATTGATGTCATATTGAAGTTCGCGGGCGTTATGATTTGCAGAAACGCCTAATAGGAAAACGACCTGAATACTCGATGTGGTGCCCCATGTTTCGCGGATTGCTTGACGCCTATTCAGATTATGCGGGGCTGAGGTGACACACATGAGAATAATGCTATTTAACTTTAGTACGGCTGGCTGGATTAGTACAGGCAAGTCAATATTCCAAGAGCTAGATTGCCTAGGTAGCTTTCGTTGTAACCCATCAAAGTGATTGTTAGGTTTCAACATAGGGATAATAATGAAGATAACTAGGATGCAAATTAAATAAATTATTAGTAGTATCGACCGGTAGTGCCGCATTGCACGGTCGAACATCCAAAACGAATGCGTGTTGCTGACTGGAAACTTCAGAAAGACGTAGTAGGATAGCGCACAATTATACTATGCAATAAGGGTTGCGGGATGTATCGTCATGACCACGCCCATTTAAACAATAACAATAGTACAAGACGTTCCATAATATAATCCGTTGCACTGATGCCGCTATGCCTATGGACGAAATTTGCGCCTCCAAGGCGATCATCGGTTTACCTAAAATTTGTGACATACATAAAAGTACATTCATTGCTCAATTATTATAGCAATGTTATAAGTGCCCGTAATGGTTGATTCATCATTTAACGCTAAAACATTTTTAGAGGATTTGTTTGTTTTGAGGAAAATGTTGGGCTAGTAAAAGTACCTAGCAAGGAACATACCAATATTAATTACTTTGAAAAACGAGAACCTTCATTTCAATATCAGTATCACCGTTACGACATAGGTTATAAATTTTTTCAGCAACTTATGCTTTTCATATAAAAACAGGGCAACCCTTCAGACCATAATAGTTGCAAACCCTTGATGAGAACGTCAACGAACAGTCGCACGAAAAAACGTCGAAATTGCTTTTGAAGCATGTGGAAGAAATGTGCTTGACAATTTGGCAGACAGCTCAAACCCGTTGTTACACATCTTTTTAGAAATACCAATTTGTTTCGGGTACATGCGCAAAATGCTAGTAGACTTTGGTGATGCAAAATTGACTGGACTCTTTCGTAGATTTCTCTCTTATGAAATTTTTAAGTTTGACAGATGTCTGTACTAGAAAGAAAAAAACTCTCCTCCAGCTCCTCCAGCCCCTTCGTGAGGTTCTACTAAATTGTACTTACCATATGGTGGTTACAGACTCTCAATAGCAAGAAGTTGCACTCGAAAATATGACATCTATGAACTTCTTACAGTTTAACGCCGCATGATGCTTTCAACAATCGCCTTGCTATACCTAGTCAAAACAATGGGTTATGATTATTCAAGCTTATCAGCTGAAACAAGGTGCGCTCTGTATGAAGGCAAAACATCTCAAAGTTGCCATTGTTTATTTTGCCAGAACAACGAAGTCGCCGACGTTGCAAAGGATCGGCTTTTGAAAGCGGCAGGCAACTGGAATGGAGCTCTCTTATGTTGATCGCAGATAAGATTTATTTCCTTAAAACCAGGATGCCTCGTGTACAAGTTAAGCTCTTCATACCAGCTTTCATAAAAATACAGTGTACCGAAATATTAATACCCTAATGAATGGGTCCTAACTTGATTGTTCTTTCAACTCAAGTTGTAGTTGATTGACAATGATGAGTGGACGAGGGTTGACTTTTTAAAAAATCTGTCTTTGAATACTATAGAAAATATATTAATGTAGCATGCCTATAACGATAACATCGCAGAAGATTTCAGGTAGAACCACCAATGACAGTTACAATAAATCGGATGAAAAGTTGATAAAAATCTGTAAGAAAATTGCGCCGTGAACTTAGAATAGGAAAAACAAGTGTTTGTCGCATATTAAGATGTTGTAAATTTAAAAGTTATATTTTAATAACAATATTGCTACGAAAAAAGGCAATCCGAAACAAAAAAAAACTTCTATGAAGGGTACTTGAAAAATTATTACCAAGGCTCAGTTTTTCGCAAGAATTTCAGGGCGATAAAGCTGCATGCAAATTAAATGGTACAATTAATTAACATTCTTGCATCAGGCAATTGTAAATCTACATATTACGCAAAAACAACATATGAAATTACTAGGATTATGTTGACCAGAATGGTAATAATTTCTGACATCTATGCTAAGAGAAAAAGAATATGTTATTTAGTTTTTGTTTTAGAGTTCATTGATAATTAGATGTAAACAAAAAGTGCAGTTATAGTTACTCATACTCTGTAATTTTCCAAATTAGATTCGCTAATTATAATTTAAATAAGTCAAAACGGACTTGCTGTCCATATAATGAACAGATTAAATTAAGGTCCAAATAACAAAACAAAAACTATTGCTATCAATATTACAAAATTTAAGAATGTGTTTTATAAGTGCTTACAATGATCTACTCCAAAGCTAATTACCGGCGTTGTCGCTAATCGCCTTAATGTATTTACAAACTTTTTAAACTTTTTTCTGCACTATCATCCTCCATGTGCAAGAAACTTATAGTCTAGGATGTGATCGAAGCCCTTCCGAATACGTTATAATTAGAGCTAATTGTATCCATATCGGCGTACTGTACATAGCTTCATTTTGCTTCACTTTGTTGCTTTCATAGGCGTTTGCTATAAACGTTACGCTTGCTGCGAAATGAGCCAAAAGTACGCTTTTAAGGAGGTCCAATTTTCACACCATCTTTAGTATGTCTTCAAATGCCTATTATACTAGATCCCCTAAACTATTTCGGGTCTACATAATGATAAAAAAATTTGCTGTGTAATTAACTTTTCGACAATTGGCGACTACCTTATGTATACGTTCTGTCCTCCTGTTTGTTATGTCGATGGCCTCGATGCATAATAAAAAAATTTTGACTGTTACAAGTGAATCCGACGGATTTTGAAATCGAATAACCTTTGAATTGCTTGGGCTAGGATGATGAATTTTTCAGTTTGACTTAGACATGCTTCCTTTTAGTTCTTCCGTACACACGCTCTGGCAGCTTCTGGACAGTCATATACTACGTTTCCAAATTTAATTCGTCGATCTATGGCTTCTTGAGGTAAATTGATAACGGCATATCACTGCTTATGAGTTACCCTCTTCAGAGCATAAAAAGCTCTGTAATTCCACGAACTTAGATCCACACAATGAGTATATGGAAATGAACGTTAGTAGTTTATTTGTTCGTCCCAGGAAGTAACTGAGGCATGGTAATAAAGTGTGGCGTTACCATTAAATAATCAGACCCTTCTATTACTGTGCCAACAATCCATGAGCCCCTAAAGGAACTCATGTAATACGGAACACTGTTACCGAACTCGGTTTTTCTCTAGAGCGACGCCATTTTCTCGTCTGGTCTCTTTTCAGCAGATTGAATCATAACTTGTCTACGGTTATCGTATACACTGGATGGGCTTTTCATTGATTCCGCAAACTACACATGTAACACACCACACGCATTTCCAATGACCTAGACTAAATAAGATTCAGTTTTACACTTGGGTTAAAAAAATGGGTTATAAATCTGCAACATGTTATATGTGAAATGTCAGTTTTAGTCGACAGAGTTCGTAATTTCTACGTTCTGCCTTCGTGAGAAGCCTTTTCGGCGCAACGGCAGTGCCTTCTTATCCTTCGGTGCCCGACATCTGGCCACCGCCCTGCTGGTACGGATCACTCCAATCTTCATTTTGAAAACGTTTGCACTATTTACGTATTGTGTTTTTACTCAAAGCCTCTTTGCCTATAGCTTTCCTCAAGCTTCGATGACCCAGTGCTGTGACTGTCAAAAGATAAGAACTTGACCATTGAGTATTGATTTTCAACGGTAAAAGACGTTTTTCCTTCAAAACTGATTTCTCCTGAAGTAAACTCAACCAGGTTTGATTTGCACGTTTGTAGAAGCTCAAGTACTTATAAGCTAAATTTAATCTATTGGCGCCGCATAGTTGAAAAGTTTATTAAATTCACATGCCATAGCGTAATAGAGGATGCATGATATAGAATCAAATACGCACACAAAGTTTTGAAGAGCTTACCCAAGAGCCAACTGTACAATATGTAGTTGATGATCCTGCATGTGAATAATACTTACAGCTGCGGTTGATCTATTCTGCTGTGCAGAATGGAACAGTTCAGTACTTGTGCACAAGTCACTCACATATAAATTAGGAAGGATATTCGTACAACGCATATTCTCTACGAGAAAGTATCTAATCCACTATTTTTATTTCTCCTCTGCATAATATCCTTTTTCTGCTATTTTTCGCCCAAGTCATATGAAGGGTGAATGTGAAACAGCGAAAATTTTAAAAATACTCAGGCGAACCGTAAGCAGCAAGACATAAACTGAGCCGTACACGTAATCTAAATGCCCTCACAATGAAGGTTTTTTGTACGTAAGCCAGCGAAAAAACTAAGACCGCACAAAGGTGTATTATTATGGACTCTCTGTTACCAAAAATACCTTCAAGGTAGCACAGCTCATGTTTGCTCTAAACCTATTACTCAAGTCTTTATAATACCAAAAGTGAAATCTGATAATTTTTATAACGATCGAACTGCATGCTATTATGCAGATTATTTGACCTGCATGTGTGGCGTCTGTTGCAAAAATACTTGGTTATTGTAGACTTTACTTTCAAGGAATTTATTCCCTAATATTAGATTACACGTTCTCGTTTCATTAAAACGATCAGAATGGGTAACTGGATTTGTAGCCTAAATCTTCTTCTACTCATAATAGACTGCTTTGGTGTAAAAATGTGCATCTAGATGTTTTTCTATATCAGCTTGATACGCACTTTTCAATCGCATTTGTCGATTCTTGTTATCTACAGTGGCTTTACCTTGCACGTGTATGCGTATATTTGCCCAATATAAAAAATACGCATGACCGTTATTTCTTGTTAGAAGGCTTACCGTCAATGGTAACAGATGAAGGCGAGGTTCGACATTCGAGTTGAACTCAAGGTTTTTGGCTGGCGTCTACAGAGAATCCGTACTAAGTCAGGTGCGTGGTGGACTATTAATTTTTTTTACCGTATTTTCAGGCTCTATATATTTTACTTCAATAAAATAAGCGAAGCTCGGTTGGCTTTTAATTTTATTGCGGATGAAGTATAGCCCTCAATTATACCATGAAGTATAGAAGGTCAGGTAATAACCCAATGCTGACATCGGAACAGCTATCCAACTCAGCTACCTCAAAAAGTGAACTTTTGAACTACTTTGAAACTCAAATTAATAATTAATAGTCGATTGTTTAAGAAAACGTTATGTAATAGAAAGTAATTTCCTAATTTAAGACGAGCGAAATTAAGTGGGGCCACGCTCACTTACAGTAATAGCTAACGGTTCATGGTGTTGTTTTTCAAAGGTTTCGACATGTTTTCGTTTGCTTAAATTTTTAGCTTAGCAGCAACTGAGATATCCAGCAGTCAGTATATATTTCAGGTGATTTCCAATGCAAAATTTTGGTATTTTCGGTCCATTACGAACATTCATATTATGCCCCGTAGTCTATGTTGGGCCTGAAAGATAGACTTAGAATAAGAAAGCTCTATTAATGGGAAAACTTTAAGTAAGACCGGCTACCTCTGCTAATAAGGATTCTTGTCACTAAACGGTGGTTTGTAATCAACATAGTGTATTTTAAGTTTTAGGATTATTTCGTTACAAATAGTGCATTAGTTAAAAAGTAAACCGCTTAGTGAATTTGTATTTGAGAATCCATAATCTTCCACAATTTTGAGAAGTTAAACTATCGAAGAGTATTCAGAAATTCAGGAACAGAAAACATCGATAGTACTAAGCTAATCCTTCAATAAGTTAATCGATATCAGTCAGAATTCATCGCACGCTTGATGATACATGGAAGTTTCGATTCTAGAAAATACCGCATAGCTATAGAAGTTACATGTAGATATTTTAATTTAAGATTAACTTGGATTACTTTATTCACCGATATGCAGTGCACGACGCAAGACTAGATATGATATATTTAGGCTAAACATATATTCTGGATTTCCTAGTACTTCTATTTCAGTTTTCTCCTGGAAGGAATGGACAGTTTTTTTTAAAGTTTGTTCAGAGTGACAACGCGAAACAACATTTTCTTCACTTTCCTACCCATTGTGCAGAAGTGTAGATAACAAAAGAATTTTGAAACCCGACGTGTGACCAGTCTTCACACGTCTATACTCTCAATTCTGGCTTCTCGTTAAATGATGCATTATGCCACTCTCACTTTGAATTTCAACAAATCAGCTTTTGCTCTAGCGATAACATTTATGTAGTCATTATATTTGGTAATTTTAACTGAATTTTTGCGCAAGGAACTTCTGGTTGTCTAAAAACCCTTTCCCTCTTTTGTTAAAAGAGTTCAATGATCTTTCGAACATCTTCAAATAAAGACACAAGTTGTAATTTTGCTCGTCGCGATTTTTCAAGACATAACTTGTTTGCAAGCGATACAATACAGTTTCTATTTTAAAAAAGGGGAACTATATGATATAGGGAAGGTGGTTTTCATTCTGTTCGCGAGTTTTGCCCCGAAAAAATGATCTTCAGTATGGGTAGTTGTCATCCCGGACGGTTCCACTAAAAAGTCACCTCTTACATTGCTTCGTCTAATTGCGCAAAAGTCATGGCGTATCAATTCGAATAAAAGGAATACTCGAATGTCAACATTATGTGGGAGCTCATCAACGATTGGAACGTTGTATCGTCAAATTGGACGTTCTTTTAATAGAACGGCACCCCAGCAGTGGCGCAATATATTGATTTAAATATAAGGGTCACATAATTACAAATTTATGCTGCACAGAAAACATTTTAAAAACAAATTTAGTGATGCGGGAGGTAGCTTAACCCACATCCGCAAATTAATCCGCCTACCAACCGTAACTGTCGAATCTCAAAATACCTGCTAATTAAAATATTATATTGCGCCGAAAGGAACCATTTCTATGACACCACACGTCAAGCTTTGTCTCCGTATTCTACTTGCCGCACAGCAAAAATAAAACGTTGTCAATGACAATGGAGAATTATGGGTCTCTGCTATTCCGAATCCTAACGGGAGCTGGGCGATGTCCTCTTGCTATGTAATGGGAGCACCTAAGCTCGCATTCTGTCCATTCTGAAACCTAGTGGAACAGGACCCAAGCATGAGCCCTTATAAGCTTCGGAGGTACACCTGGCTTAATCATATATAGAGTCACCTATATTAGCTACAAATGCCCGATCTATAAGGTCAGTATTATTCAGCAATTATCCTAGAAATTACGATGAGAGGCCACCACAAAGACTAATGAAAAGATTATCAGTTCGAAAAGAAAAAAGGAAATTCCTTCTGTCTTTTTATTAATTGAAGTCATCAAGTTGTTTATATTTTTTTATTAATTGAAGTCATCAAGCTGTTTATATTTTTGTTAATTGAAGTCAATTGAAGTCATCAGGTTGTTTATATTTTTTTATTAATTGAAGTCATCAAGCTGTTTATATTTTTGTTAATTGAAGTCATCAAAGCTGTTTGTATATATTTCTGTGAGGAAGAGTATCAAGTGTAGGTTGTCGCTGTCGTTACTATTAAGTGTTTCTTGGTTCTTAACTATTGATGATTTCATCTAAGAGAAAACTGACCAACCGTTATCATCAGTATTAAATCGTTATCATTAGCATTATTATCTAGAACGTAGGGAATGCCAACAGCCCATCCCATAGGTATGGGTATGTTAACGCCTGCCCAGCCGAGAAGTCGCCGTCAGGAGCACGTGACAAGTACCTATTCCATTGACAAAGGGCAAAAAAGAACTACGCCCCGGTCATTCCATTAACAAAGGGCAAAAAACAACTACGCTTCAGTCTGAGTTCAGCGGAACGTCTACCTTTAACCATGAAATTACTTTTATTTCGCTTTTATCAATTTAAGATAAAGAACTAAACAAAAATTGATTTTTTAATTGCTTGCTGTCTTCATTTAGTAATATGGTTTGTTGGCGGATACACAACGGAAGTTACCATGATATTAATCATGTGATAATTATCATAAACTGGCAGCTGTAGCACTTTTGACATATGTCCGCCTCCTGCTTTGATTTGATGCTTGGTTCCTGTATTATTCTTGTGTGTGTAGATGTATGTACTTAGATTAGCTATTGTATTGGTTGCTGTTCTTGTTACGCTTCCTATGGAAAATAGTCCTTGCTCGCTCAAACTTGTCAGTGGATGGCGGCACGATGGCATCCTCCCGATTCTCTTTTCGATTAATTTCCATGCAGCAAAAAGGGTCCTCAGCGACTAGTACACCGACGCGGTGAGGAGTCTTGAACCCTTTTTCTTCATGTTTTTATCCTTCTTTCTTTCGTTCGTTGCTCTTGAGCAACCAATGCCAGGACATTTATTGTAGATGTTACACATTACAGCTATTTTGCGTGGTGTATATATATATTAGTTGTTAATGGTTCTTGAAGTGATGGTGAAGTTCAGAATTGTGGCTGTATCTGTTACTATTGAACAAGAGATGGTCATATGGGAAAGGAAGCAGAAGATACGGTTACATCTGCTTAAAGCTGGCCGCAGTCAGCAATGACAACCTTTTTCTTGGTGGCGCCACTCTGCGACCCGAGAGCCTCCATCTGCTTAACAACGTCCATGCCTTCGACAACGGAGCCAAAGACAACGTGCTTACCGTCCAACCACTGGGTCTTGATGGTGCAAAGGAAGAATTGCGAGCCGTTGGAGTCTCGGCCAGCGTTGGCCATCGACAGGATTCCGGGACCGGTATGCTTCAGAGTGAAATTCTCGTCCTCAAAACGCTCACCGTAGATCGACACACCACCAGTGCCATTGCCCTTAGTGAAATCGCCGCCCTGACACATGAAGTTAGGGATGATACGATGGAAAGTCGATCCCTTGTATCCTTTGCCAGTCTCACCAGTGCAAAGCGCTCTGAAGTTCTCGGCGGTCTTGGGAACGACGTCAGAGCGAAGCTGCAAATCGAAGAAGGTGCGAGAATAGCAAAAAAAACAAACTGATCAGTAAACTTTAAAAAGAACCGCTAATTATACATTTGGGCACCACATAGTTGATTTTTACTCGGAATGATTAATTATCGAACTATTCGTTATTTAGAGCTCTGTAAGATTATCAGTATTGCATTTCAGCAATGACATGCTACCAGTTGAAATAATAGTCTCTTTATCACCTAATGCATTTTTACTTACCATAAATAATATACGTATGTACAGCTACTGAAGTTTGTAAAGAACCTATCCGTAATATCACAGCTTGATCCACCATAACATGTACACTATATCAACAACACTACATATCGAAGCAAATAGATACCATACTATCGTGGGCGTCTCGCAGACTAACCGCCTTTGAAGCAAAAAAAAAAGGAACAAACGTGATCCCGGCACTGCCTCTATATTCCAATCTTACCCCCTTTTTTCCTTCCGGCCTAGGGGCAACGTTGGTTGGCGCTCTCTACTAATATCAGCAATATCGTAGTCGTAGTAACCCTTGCTTCTCCGGTCCTTTTTTCGATCATTGCTTAATTCAATCATTGCTTATAGTGGAAATTGCGGAAAAGGCAAAAACCGTGTCTACGCGAGACTTTTTACTATAAAAAAACAATTTGGTAGGTTGCACGTCAGTCTTGGTTAGGATGCAATATGCAGGGCAGTGTACAACTGGACGGACCCTTTTTCAGGACGTGCGAAACAGCGCAAATTACGTCACAAAGCGAGCGACTACCTTATCATACGGACGCACAAGAATGAAATTACTAGACTGCACACAAATCATTAAATACACATACACAAACGGATATTGGCCAAAATAATAAATATAATAATAATAATAGCGAGAACCTAAATTCGAGGCACGCAAGTTTCTAAAAAATGTACTCGGCACATGTCTCAGCGAGCATATACTAGCATCAAATCTTTGGGATTGGTGCTGTTATGATTATCGTTGCTATTCACACGGAATCTTTCCCTACAAAAATATTGCACAGGGCACTAGATAACTTAACATGCCATCATCTCTGTGTGGATACGCGACTACACTTCCGAGTCATTTCAATATACTGTTGGTGCTACCTGTATACTTAAGTTGTTGCCTGTTTATCGCTACATTGCTGTAAAGCGAAAGCCGGTAAAGCAGTCCACGATGACGCCGGCAAGTCTGCCGCTGCCACAGCAGATCCAAAAACGTTTGTTCAAATGAGCGCCAAAGGAAAGTCGATGCCTACAACACAGCTCTGCTTTATGTCTTTATGCTCGGACGCTCGCACAGCCTTGTTTGTACTATAATGTGATGTAGTTAAACAATTAGAAGCATGTTCGTCACGACGATGATGGCAAATGGCAGCGTAGGTTGCAGTACTACAGAAGTAGTGGTCCTAGTAAATCAATGCTTTGTCATTTTCCCTCTGTTCCACCTGCGAGCTATATCATCATAGAAGATTTATAATTATAGTAGACAAATTATCAACGGGGTAATCTCGGCATACGCAACGGCGGTGGCAGCAGCAGCACTAACCGTTCCATCGTATCGTACCCACAACATGCTGTAACATGAGACAAAATAGAAGGTCACTGAGTCACCCACATACCCTCCGACAGGCTGGGACTGTGCACGTTCGTGCAGTTGTCTGTGTATGTCTTCCGCATATGCGGGTCTTGTCTTCGTGGTTAAAAAGCTAACCGGCTATACAAGCAACCCCCAGATCGATAACACGCTCGCTCGAACAAAGACCACAATCACACGAAAAGCAAGTCTTGCTAAAAATTTCAACGACGCACAAACTGGACAGCGGTTTCGTCTTAATTACATTGATGAAAAGTGGGCGGACAAGTCAACGATGGTTGTGCGTGTAACACAGGTCTCTGCTCTCAGTCATCAAAGCTTGAGCGTCATTGCACCATACAATGAACAACAATTGGAGAGAAACGAAGTAATAACTTCTGTTGCTCCTCTCATGCTGGAAAAATAAGTAAAACGTGAAGAAATAAAATCGAGTTAAGTTGAAAAACAAGCTAAAGATACGTCAATAACTAATGCAAAAAGAATTTGATGGAATAAATACCTAATGTGAAGTCATTGCTTGCATCGTATACTGCACATCTTGTAAACGTAAATGTTGTGAATCTAAAACGCTTGATTTCGTAATTGGTAGAAATATTGTAATAAAATCACGATTACTCGCTTGCGGAGCAGATATATAAATAAGTAGTACAGTTCTGCGTGGCTGATAGCCATCGCGGCAGGCTTCCCTGAAATTATTGTCTCATTGGAGCAAACCGGTGCTCCATCTCGTTTCATTGATCTTCGGATCAAATTGTTCATCTAGGCGTTTTATTCGGCATATAATTTAGCTGTATTGTTTTAAATTGATTGTCTATTTAGCCATAAATAGATGCAGTCTTCTTCTCTCTCTATTGTCGGCAGCTAGTATCTCTGTTGCTGCTGATTGACAAAAAGGGTATTGCGAAAAATTACAACCATCTCTTTCTCATAACGCCGATTACCAATAATCATCGATGCGGCCGATGACAGCGTGAGGCGCGAACGCACTGAATTTCTTAATGCGTAAGGTATGGAGACTTCTAGAACAAGCACGCTCCCGCTGAACCCACCAGCCGCCCCTAGAGTGACCGCCGTACACGGTACCTTATAGATGAAAATAGAGTTAGGCTTAACTGTCAAAACAGCGCCAAAAGTGTAGCGGCCGTATTAATTATATGATAATACACAAAATTCATTGTCGAATTATAGGCGAGCAAATTTTTTTGTTTTAGCTGGCAGCGTCGATTCACATTGCCTCGGTGCTCTTTGCATAGGTTCGACTAGCAAATAGAAACGTGGCCGCACGCCGGCGTAACACAGCCCCTTTTTAGATAACCAAGCGCAGGATGCCGGCTCAACCCAAAAAGAAACGCAACGCGGGCCACGCCGGTAGGAGGACTAGTAGAATTTTTGATGGCAACACAAATCTTACTCGGTCAAATCAAACATGGTCCCAGGATGACACTTACCTCCATAACGATACGACCAAGCTTGGTGCCTTCGGCCTCAATATCCATGAAGACACGAGGGAGACCGGACATTTTTGCTGAGTTTTTTTGCTGCGATGCTTTTGAAGCAAAACCTGCAACACGTTGCTGGAGCTGTGAACCAAGCAGGCACACACCGTTGACTGTTGATGTCCGGCTGCTAACCTGAATGCTGCTGCTACTGCTGCCGCTGTTAATATAGAAACGGCCTCGGCTCACCTTCGCCCATGAGCCAAAACAGCAACTCGCGCCGCCGCCATTTAGGCCAAAAGCAGCAGAAGCCTGCGCGGTGATCTGGGCGCCACGCGCACCATTACGTAGCAACATCGCCATGAAGTAATAGGACACTGCGAAAAAACTAAAAACTAGAGGACGTCGTGTCAGAATGGGTCGACGAACGTGTTCGAACAATGAACAGACACAGTGTGACTTTTCACAAGTCGTCTAAAACGGGTCTAGTTGGCTGTGCGCAGAAAAATTGAGAAGTTCACAGCGCAGCATCTCAGGAGGCAAGCCACTAGGGGGACACATGTACATTCGCACCAGACACCATCCAATAGTGGAAGCTAACGCCCAGCGCCCTCGGTGGTAGCGATGGAAGATTTGGCGTCGTCCTATCGTTGCTGTTGAACATGGCGTGGCTTGATCATGTATATTGTACTGCACAACAGACGCAGCACATATATATACACATATATATATATATATATTAGTTGCAAGTCTCTGTGTAACGTGAGGGACGTGTTATAGCCCGCGAAACTTGCTATTGTTCGACCGTCCTATATGGAGACATTAAGAAAAAAACAGAACTTAGACGTTGTTTGACACAAATACGAGTTGTATCCGTTCGTACATGGATATAAAGGAATTTTATTATATAATAGGTTAGGCGTATCACTTTTTTGTGTGGCTGTGAATATATTTAGTAGGGTACACTGGTTGTTGTAGGTACGCAGAATACTAAAATTAGATCAATATCAAATGACAATGCGACTATGTGGGATCCGCCGTCCACCGAAATTAATTGATAAAATTTATATTTTTACGTACGGTATATTGCCAAATATGCTTATATTTGTTTCGTAGATTTATTTTGGCTCGGCTTGTAAATCGAGCACACATTTTTGTTACATCTTTAAGTATCTTTTTTCTGTGTTTCTTGAACAATGCAATATTCTATACGATCGCGTAGATAATGCAGATGTGCGAATCCAGATGTTTTTAAATGTAAAATACACAAACTTCAAATTTCACATTATCCTTATATATAGTATAGCCTAATAGTAAACACGGTAAAATTCAGTAGTTACGTGTTAGTTGTCCATACAGAAAGCAACGTTAAAAATAATGCAAGTATGTCTATATTCTGATGGTGCTATTCACTTGTAAATCTTTCACAAAGTATTGTTGTGATTTTTAAATAGGCATCGACGCTTGTCCAAATCAATTATACCACATGGTATAATTTGATGCCTAAATATATTAAAACAGAAGAAAATAGACGACATATTCAATAAGGAGTCATAGTGATATTATGATGATTATTAAATTATTTTCAGATCACGTTCGGGTAGAAAGCTTTCAGTGCTTCTGCAATTTAATCTAGAGTACTTCATTCGCAGTAAATGAAGAGTCTAGATAACTATCCGGAACTGTTAATTATATTAAAATAAATTTTAATTTTATGCAAATAAAACTTTTTTAAATACAAGTTGACAATGCAAAGCAGAATACTGCAAAAAAAAATTGTAATTTATCGGCATTGTTTTTGCAATATCTGAAAGTCTATTATGACTTTGTAACCACGGTTAACAACAGTTACAAGAGATACTTTGATAACTTAACTCAAATGCTGCCCCTGCTGTACTCCTCTTCCACAAAATCAATGTTTCCGACTATCCCTTCAGATATTCTACTATCTAAGTTAATAAACCAGCCTTCATTATGGCTGTTAAATACACCAAATCCCATAACGTAGATGTATATTAATACTCGATGTAAGTGCATAACATTACAGTGTCCTTATAGATTTATATGAACTCAATTTCAGTGGAGTTCAACGGTTGTCAGTGCGACGATACACTTTTGGTTCTGATAAACATTAACTATATTAACGTGAGCTGAAATGTATTTTCCGAACATTTATGAAGTTAATTATTATTATTTATCAATTCATCAAATGAATTATTATCAAATCAATCAGCGGTTTTCGTCCTAAACAATGGACTTGTTTACTCATATGCAGTACTAAGAACATCGATAACGATGAAATTAATATTTGGAATTTTCAAAGCGACACGGCTGGTTATATATATATATATATATACATAACCAGTCGTGTCGTTTTGAAATATATATACCTCGCATTAGGCAGTAGCTGATAAAAATGAAATTGAAAGCTAGGTATGTTTTTCTTTAGATGCTAAAATCAGAGATACATAAAATAGCAATAAATAAGCGAGGGGTCGTCTATGGTACCGAAGCTGAGTAATGTTCCAACAATGCGTTATATCACGTTCTATAGTAACACAATTCGGATAAATGATCAAGAACTTTGTTGCAAGCAACAATGTTGGTACCAAGAAACCTCCCAGATTTTCAGTGTTATAAAATGGAGACTGAAATGAAAACAATTCAAATTGAGAAAAGTGCCGGGTTACGCAAGCGAACACTAACCACGAGGCACACCTGTTTTTTATTAACACTTTTCATGGATACCTTTAACATTTCGTTTTTCCACCGCACACGCAATTCTACATTTATTTAATATTATATATCGTTACTATAATAATTTATTGTATTATGATAATTCGCTAAACGCCGCTAAAACCTGCACTGCCTGAATTGCCACAGTTTTTTCTACGGTAGTTTCTCTTTAACGCCCCCAATACTGTGGTTTTCTCACACAATGCATAAAATTTAACAATATACAATGTTTTTATACTGGCGCTATCTGCTTACTTAATTTCACTTTCGTTATTTCTGTAACCTTCGGATGACCAACCTACGCATCTGTTTCACTTGTCTTTGATATTTAACCATCATTCCTCCAAAACAAGCACTTCTGCACACTTATATCCATCTGTAAATTTCTTTTCGTACTCATTAACGTGAACCGCCACTTATACAATACTCTATTTTTCTGTTTTTAATAATGTGATTACAGTAGACAAAATGGGTCAACCCGCTCACAGGGGTGGTTATGTGGATTTTTGTTACGGGCAGAGCTTCTTCTAGGAGTTAAACGCAACTTCGTCGAACGGCGGTGCTGTTGGTAGATGGATATCGTCTCGTTATAATAGCTTGCGACTTCCTTTAAAGAAGGAACGGTATAATTTGCTGGCTACCATAATCCTGCACTGTATGAGGCTCGATCTTTTTTACGCCAGTCCCTGTCTCTTCTTTAGTTTCTCTTCGCGTACCTTTTCACGGTTTTTGTCGGTTTTCTTGAAAAGAACCTCACGCTCTTCATTGGTAAGATTATTATGGACATTCGTCACAACGCCGGTTCCAGATGTTTTAGTGCCATCCCGAATTGTAAATCGCTGTCCCCGCTCGAGTACCATTGGTTTAAAGAGCTTCACATTGATCTTTCCATCTTCGCCAGGCATAAGCATTTCTTTATCGGCGAGCGTAACTCGACCGCCGCAGTCCCACGTATAGGAGAATAAATGTGGTTGATAATTTTGCACAATTGGACGCTCTCGACCGCCTTCTTCTTTCTTAAGGACGTAGATCTGCAAGAAGCATGAGCATAAGTGGTCAAAATGGGTATTGTATGAGTTCATTTTGAAATATGAGGGTCCAAAGCCTACAAGTTTTTTAATAGACATACGATATATGATCTATGATTATAACACCACATTTATCTTTAGATAGAAAGAACTGACAAAGGATATATGATTGTGAGTTAGGACCTGTGTTGTTTTCAACTCAAGTTAAAGCAAGCCCTAAGAAAGCTCCCAGACAGATTCCCTGTTAGTTTCACAAAAAAAACTCAGAGCTCAAAAATATGTGAATTAAAGTTGATTAATATGGTAACCAGACTCACCATTGGTATAATGCAATGTAAAAAAACGTGCAGCTTCTTATTGTTAAAAAGTTAACCTATTTTACTAGATTACAGCAAACGATCTCATAGCTGAAGACGTTAACTCATGCAAACTTTTTCTTACAAATTTTTCACTAAAAAATAGATTTTTTTAATTACATGAACTTCTCAGAACACATCAAATACAAATTACAATCGCTGGACCAACGCTCCGGACAGCGTACCTGTGACTATGTAAACAAAAGGCAACAAATGCTCTCAAAACAAGTATTCGGTGTTTTTGAAAGCATTATGCATTTCTAAGTGAACCAAAAATCCAAATAGGTACAACTAACCTGCGCTTCAAAGTAATCGTGCATCTTCATCGTTCCGGGCGCTATAATAGCCATTCCCCGTTTGATATCATCACGTTTTACGCCACGAATCAACGCGCCAAGCTGATCTCCGGCTTCAGCGTGATCTAAAATCTTGTGGAACATTTCAATTCCTGCGACGAAAAACCAAGAGCCATATACAGATCTTCCCAGTGAGACTTTAGTACAGACCCAAATCGATGACGTTACACTGGCAAATTAATCAGTCACTTTCAATGGTCCCTTTTCTTGTTGAATACATTGAATACTTCGCTCACGTGATAAAAAGGAAGCCTTTTATAAAGGTTTCCCATTCGACCGAGTAAGCAAGTATACGTCACAGCAGTAATAGTAGTAGCTAGCAGCATAATCAAGGTTTTACTTAAGTTCATCAAAGACAACGTTCATGAACAAAAAATTAAGAGATAAACACGTTTTAATTATTAGACGATATACGTAACTCACTCAATGGTACACGTTTTAATTATCAAATGGTATAGAGTTTACAATACTAATAATTACGTATTTACTACGCGATACCGCGAACGTTCGTCACGTACTCAAATTTACTCCGCAGGTCAGATAGAATCACCTGCTCACCTGTGATAGAAGTCTTGAACGTTTTATTATATCCAATAATTTCGCATTCCGTTCCTCTTTTCAGCATGCCGCGCTCCATACGTCCAGTAGCAACCGTTCCTCGGCCTGGTATCGAGTAGACATTTTCAATGCACATGAAAAATGGCTTGTCAAGATCACGAACCGGGGTTGGCACGTATGAATCTATGGTGTCTAACAACTTTTCGATGGCTTTTTGGCCGAGCTCTGGATTTTTGCCCTCGAACGCCGATAGCGCGGACCCGGTGATAATCGGCACCTTGTTGCCTTCGAAGCCGTGCTCCGTCAGAAGCTCTCGTAGTTCCATTTCCACGAGTTCCAGCGTCTCTTTGTCGGCAATGTCGGCCTTGTTTAGGAAGACGACAATGTGGTTGATGCCAATCTGTTTGGCAAGAAGTAGATGCTCTCGCGTTTGGGGCATAGCACCATCGGTAGCGGCCACTACGAGGATTGCACCATCCATCTGTGCGGTTCCAGTAATCATGTTCTTGATATAGTCGGAATGACCCGGACAATCCGTGTGTGAATAATGTCTATAAATATCAGAGCGTGCATTGCATATGATTTGAAAAAGGAAATGGGGATATGTAACGCATTATAACGAGCAACTACGATATGCCATAAGGTACAATGTACTTTTAGAATAAGGAATACATAATATTATTATCAGGTAATGGGCCACGCTATACACATACCTAAGCCAGGTGACGGACTAGCGAAAATACGAGTTGACAATTGAACCCAGTAGATTTTCTTAAACATGTCTATAAAAACGTCCAAAAGTATAATTCGTGCACAGGGATTTGAAACTGAATATATGAAAAAGGCTTGATTACTTATCTTTCTGTTTGTTTTATACCAATTTTTCATCATTTTCAATCAATTTTTAATGTGTTCGGAAACGTAAATGAGTTGAATGAAGCAACTTCATGATTTGCCGAGGCAACGTAATGTTCGGCACAACTGAAGGCTGCAAAGGAATCTATAAGGCAGCTTCCCGTACACACCTGTTCGCCGTCTGGTATTCGACGTGAGCGACGTTAATGGTAATTCCACGAGCCTGCTCTTCCGGAGCATTGTCAATTTCCTCATATTTCTTCATAGATGCCAGCTTACGGTCCGCCAAAACCTGTCTCCGCAGTGAACACGAGAATTATCAATCAAAATTACTAGCATTTATTTTTATTATAATAGTATTACTACATTTACTGAGTATAGGTTTATATTCACCACTGAAATAATACAATGTGAAGAAAGCCAAATAGGTGAATATTGCTGACTTATTATGTTTAATTATGCACTAAAGCACGTTTATACGCCTTATGTTCGAACCTTATCAAAGATGCTTCAACGATTTTTGTGTTCTTTTCGTCTCTATATTGCCGCTTTGCGAGAAAACACTATGTCGAAAACATTATGTGTGAACCAAAATTGGTCGTGTTCAAAAACAGCTCCCTTCTGAAGGGTACTGTAAACTATGGAAGGAAAATGTTTTTTTTATTTTTAGCTTTTCTTCAAACAACAATTGAAACTTCGTGAATTTAAAAAAGAAAGACAAAAATGAAACTGAAATACAAGATCAGAGTAAATTCAAATTATTCAAAAAAACGATTGTGCCAAATAGCGGCTGGTGTATATACGCAGCGTGAAATATGTGTGAGAAAAAAAGAAGTATCTGGGTTTGGGTGTCCAGCGTGGCTAAGCGTGTTCTAATGTATGGTGCAATTTACTCCTATACAGGTTAAGTGGCTTCAGATCACATCAAGATCCAGTAGCAATAAATAATTGATCTAATGATTTACGTCATGTGTGGAACGAAGTTCATACTAACAAATACAGAAGCTTTTCCATAAATTCTTCTTCTTCTCCACAAGTGACTATCCACAAGGTAAAAGATCACTTCGTGGTAAACTGTCTCAGCAATACTTACAAATTTGTTAAATATACAAACTCAGACGTTGGTCAGTTTTTTAGCTGCACACAACAGGTACAAGGTCGGATTTTTGAAACATAGTTGATCTTTCACATTTTCTGTCATGTTTTTTAAAAATGTCTATGTTTTCACATTTCTTATTCAATTGGTTTCTGTAGTGCTTAATTTCTATATGGACTATAAGACTTCGTTTTGGGATAGCATGATAATCCATAGTGGGTTGCGGGTGAGCGGTAGCACAGCAACGATGAAATACCAAAGGGAGAATTGATTTACATTTATGAGATATCTATTTATCGGTCATTAGGAATATCTAAGTCAAGGTAATCATTAAAATAGCATAATACAATATTCGAAACAATATAACTGAATAGCTAAAAAAAAAGATAATTGGATAACGCCGGGAAGTCACAAGACGGCTTGGACATTTGACTAAGTCTACTGATATGGGGTAACGGAAGACCGCGAAACCTGCAATGGGATAAAAGGAATAATTGCGACGGATAACGTAGGCTGAAAGAGGGTGATGAGACAACTGCAATGACCTTAAGTTCGTAATTTTCAGCTAGGCTTGAACTCAATTTCGATAGAATTAAAAAAGTAACAGGATGGTGTTGGGTAACGTCAGGTGTGTATATTTACTACGAGTCATCTAGGACAAAAGAATGAGCCTTGGCGGCCATAAATATAAGTATGCATGCATTCTACATGTAGAGTTCTACTCATTACCACGTAAGCCCCAGTATTTTAACTTTATTGTATTTAGCCTCTTTGCAAGTCGATTCAGAAAAAATCGCAGTAAATTATGGCTAATTTCTTTGACATAGTATAAATAATTTTTGTACCGTTTACAGATTACGCGCGCCTTGTATTATTTGTTGTATTATGTAACAAATCATATTAACCTTTGTGATAGCTGCTGTAAGGGTAGTCTTTCCGTGATCGACATGACCAATTGTTCCTAGAAAGTTGAAGCACAAAACAGATTTATTACGACATTCGAGTTTATTTTGCAAATATATCGTTATAAAGTAAGTAAGTCTTGTCAATTGAATAGGTTCGGTAAACCAAAAGTAAAAAAACCAAAAGGTAAAGCAAAAAAATGCTTACTTCTGAAGTGGGGACCCATTACGTTACCCAAATCGATAATTGCTTTACCCACTTAGTGACTTCAGCTACTTCCTGACCTTTCAATACTACGAAATCTGTTGGCGTCTACTGCCCAGATTTGGTAAAACTAACTTCAAACAAATCATCGCAACAATAAATTTATGCCACCATAGTTGAGACAGAATTGAAACAGTACCAACAGCATCCTTTGTACTATAAAAATGAAATCGTACTAACGAGTGGGCTTGATATGATAAATCTCACTATTTGCTACTAAACACAAAAATGTATTCAATGAACTTAGTTGTAGTTAAACTTTTATGCAGTATTACGCACAAAATGCTATATTCTCCTCACAAAAAGACATTTTACACGTTTTTACAGGTTATTCATAGCTGATCCAATGAAAAGTAAAATAGGTTGCGCGCACAAGGGTGCTCAGCCTCACTGATCCTCTTTTTTCGCTTTCGCCCCACTGTTATTCGCTGTGTATTAACCAATGGCAGAAGCATTACAGCAGCTTCGGAACACTTACCGATGTTGCAATGAGGCTTATCACGTTGGAAGACGGCTTTCTTGCCAGTCTGTGGTCCCGGGGTAGCGGCGTAACACCTTACAGCCTGTTTAACTAAGGGTCGCACTCCAAACAACCGTGAAAAGCTGAGCTGAAGTGCCGCCATTGTTGTGAAACCAAAATGTCCTGTGCGACGATAATGCGAATTAATTTCTGCGCTCAAAATGAATTCTCTATTGCATTCACCGCATGTACGCGCATTTGGTCAGGTTGTTGGTTAACTTCTACTGCACGCCACCAGCCGGGGAACATGGGTTGGCATTTACTAGGTTCTAGCTGACGGAATGCTACCAGGCCGCCACTAAAGGCTTACTGCTGTGTCTGAGATTGGATCTAAACTTCTGGATGTTGCTTATTCGAAAGATGTTCGTCCAGTTATGAAAAATTTGATAACTATGATATTCGACAGGGATGTGGTGGGCGTGTTTGCTTCTACCGCAGTTGGACATTGCCAAACGTATTCGCGCGGTAATTCGAGTTATACATCTGGGAAAGTCAGATCAAATTTGATACGGTAAACTGCGGATAGCCCCTTTCTGTTGACTCTGACCTTAGCGGATTTACGGTCTGTCCACCCAGTTTAGTCAACAGTACTTCGCTCTTGCCAAGTGTTCGATATACTCGCGGTGGTAAATAGCATCGTACATGCGTGGTACTCTTAGTGGTTCTCAGGGATCAGTTGAATCATAGACGTATTTGGATGAGCTGAATATTGAACAGTGTTTGTTAGATTGAAACTTGGCGTGTTCCGCGATCAAAATGAAAATTCAGATATGCGCTGGAAAACAGAGTCCGCCGTTGGCAGCACTGCTAACAGCTGAGTTTGTGAAGTCGGATATTCAAGTCGATGTTGAATGGCAGAATGGAGCCGGTTAGTAAACGCATTTATCTTCAATAATTTTCTAATAAATTGCAAGTTACTTTCAGAAAACAAAAGCATCCAAATGTGCAAATTGCTTAATGAGTTACGCACCAAGTTTTCGAGATATTCTCAGCTTGACTTATTCAAACGTAATTGTGCAAGAATCCCACTTGCTGCCGTCTCATGATGTTAGGTGAATTAAGAGACTCATTTTAACTGATAAGGATAATTTTCCGTTTAATATTAACGGATTTCAAGGAGCTAAACTATTATGTTATTGTCTTTGAATGTGGCATGAAGGTGTTTGTTTCTATTGCATGTATAAGCATTGCGTCAGAGCTCTTTTCATTCGGCTTGCTTAGAATCTTTTATAAGGTAGTGTAAGCGTAACGTTTAAAGGACGTACGTTAGTCGGAGACGTCATGTGACATTATAATTGCCACGTATGGAAGAAGCGTATTATATCTTATTAGAGCTAGAGTAATTTATCAATAAATTGAAATCAGTTTATAAAATCAATTCATAATTATAATAGAACTTGAAATTGCACTTTCATAAGACGAACTGTGAACCCCATTGCTAAAAGCTTTGTGATTTGCTTGTCCTAGTTGTGGACTTTGTAGGGCCTTCTAACTGTATGGCCGTTGTTTAGATGCCAGATAACGGGGATCTAAACAGAGGATAAAATCTCAGAGATTCTGTCAAATCATTTGAATTTTTAATTACAGCTTACGGTTTCGTTACGCAGTGGCGGGAAGGGGTATAGTTGTTAAGGGTAGGTGACCCTAGATGGAGAAAAGTATTCCTAGTCTATTTCACGAAACCATGTGACGTAAACCGTAGAACTGATGATTCTGGGGCATACAAAGATTACAGTTTTATTATCTCTAGATAATCTTGTAGAACTATTAGAAAACGTGAGTGTTTTTCTTTATTTAGAGTCCTTCGCGCGTTTGTCACCTGACGCCGCAGTGTCTGGAGAAAGCTCGATATGTCGACTTTTGGCTCGGCTGGCACCCCAGCGAATGCTATTTGGTTGCCAACCTCTCGAACAAGCACAGATCGATCACTGGCTTACAGCGACGAACATAGTACGTACCTGCATGTAACTCTAGCAAAACGTAAAATATGTCTGAGCGTTTCTTTCTAGTATGCAAATTTTGTTCATCCGACTCTATCTTGCTACTAAAGGAAACTTAAAACAAGTGTAAAAAAATTCGACGGTGAGTTTAGGTATTGCAGTAAGATTGTCAGTGCTCTGAGGGGTGCACGTATATTTGATTAAGTGAGCTATCTACTATTAAAGCAAATCCATTGAGTGTTTTATAAATTGTCATTTTTCTATATGAAATGCAGGATATTAGTAAGCTGGACGAATTGTTGGCACGAAGCACCTATCTTTTGCCGGCTTCGCATCCAACAATTGCCGATTTCTGCGTTCTTGCACAGCTGATACGGCGTCCCGTTGAAGCGGGAACCAACATTCAACGCTGGTAAGTATACTTCTATTGACACGTGCGAGGGAAGCAAGGCTTATATTAAACTACGTATTCTAGCTTTGTAGTGACGCAATTATTAGCTGAACTGAATTGCTAGGACATTTTCGTACCAAAGAAAACAACAGAAATCAATACATCTCACCACGTTTCGCTGGATTTGGATTTCGCTGTACTGATTGTATGTTTTATGATGTGTTTATGTATTTTGATTTTTATTGATTTTTTTTTATGAATGTTTATGTATTTTAGAAATACACAATGTATGTTTTAGTGTTTACTAAATTTTCCATGATTTGTCGTAGGTGGGACCATCTCTTCACGATGAAGAAAATTTCTGACTGCGTTGCGTCAGTCGAAAAGATAGCTCCTATCAAAGAGAAATCACCAGACAAGGAGAAGGTAAGGGTACGTTTTTGTTCTTCCAATCATTGGTCTTCCAAACAAATTGGGTAAAATTTGCTCGATCTAGGCATGTATATACAAATTTTCACCTACCTAATATTATTAAAGTTTTAAGTTATATGTTATGATCTATTACCTTTGGAAATCAGAATTGAAAGAACATTAAAAAAAAACTTTCCTTGTTTATACGTATTGTGTAGTACGTGACTTAAAAATATACTTGTACCCATTCAGTCTTGTCGTATGTTTGTATTATTTGTGTTATTGCAACCATTAATGTTATAAATAATTTTCTTCAGAATACTGCTAAACTGGATCGCGGCAAGTTTGTCGATTTACCTGGTGCCGAGATGGGAAAAGTTGTGGTACGATTTCCCCCAGAAGCATCAGGCTATCTACACATAGGTCATGCCAAGGCCGCTCTACTTAATCAACATTACCAGCTGGCCTTTAATGGCAAACTTGTGCTACGATTTGATGATACGAACCCTGACAAGGAGAAGGAAGACTTCGAACATGTGATCCTTGAGGACGTGGCAATGCTTGGTATCAAGCCCGACATATACACATTCACCTCAGACAGTTTTCCGCTTATTCAAGATATGTGCGAAAGGTTGTTGCGTCAGGGAGACGCTTACGTTGACGACACCGATGCTGAGACGATGAAGAAGGAGCGCGAAGCCCGACAGGAGTCGAAGCATCGGAATAATTCCGTTAAGAAAAACCTTCAGATGTGGGAAGAAATGGTGAAAGGAACGGATTATGGTCTCATGTGTTGCGTAAGGGCTAAAATCGACATGAACTCGAACAACGGGTGTATGCGTGATCCAACCATCTACCGCTGTAAAATTGCCGCTCATCCTCGGCAGGGTAACAGGTACAAAGTATACCCGACCTACGATTTCGCTTGTCCCATTGTTGATTCGATCGAGGGAATCACCCACGCTTTAAGGACGACCGAGTATCACGATCGTGACGAGCAGTTTTATTGGGTCAGTAAGGTTTCGTATTCCACTAAAAGATCTATTTCCTTACCCAATTTAAGTCAGAATGCTTCATAATTATGTCCTTCGAAAGAGCACATGTTGTCTTCAAAAAAGTTAGGTTTTGCATCCAGTGCTGTGTGAACTCAGGTTTTCGTTTTTGCTGCAGGTTATTAACAAATTGGGTCTGCGAAAACCTTTCATCTACGAATATGCAAGGTTGAATCTGATGAATACAGTCCTTTCAAAGAGAAAGCTAACGTTTTTCGTCGACCAAGGTGTGGTTACGGGATGGGACGATCCTCGAATGCCAACCGTGCGTGGCATATTGCGACGAGGTTTGACTGTCGAGGGACTTAAGGAGTTCATTTTGGCACAAGGATCTTCGAAATCAGTTGTGATTATGGAATGGGACAAACTATGGGCCTTCAACAAAAAGCGTATAGAAGCTTCTTCGAAGAGGTTTTACGCTGTTGAAGCCGATGGAATGGTTGAAGTTCATATCGACGGTCTTGACAAAAGCGACATCGAAATTGCGTGGCACCCGAAGGATCCAGATATGGGAACCAAAAAGCTCGTTGTGGATAGGGTTCTTCTTGTGGATAAGGCTGACGCTGAACAGATGAAAGCCGAAGATACGGTTACGTTTATGAGCATTGGAAACGTCAAAATCACTGAGGCGCTAAGGAACGGTCAAGTATGTGCTATATAGGAAATAATGTAAAATGAGGTTACTTAATGTAAAGTTATATGAGGTGTATTAAAAGAACTCCGATATAAGGTTAGACATGTATGAATATAGTAATCGCAAATGAATACGGGTGTCGTTGACAATTTCAGATAAAGGCAAAGGCTGATCTGGAAAACAAAGACTTTAAGAAGACACTTAAGGTCAGCTGGATTGCAAAGGCAGCCGCGAATGTCCGTCTAGCGGTTTATTATATGGACAACATCATCTCAAAGCCGGTACTTTCTCCAGATGACGATTTCAAAAAATATATTCGTAAGGTGTCGATGGTCGACGTGTCGATGTTAGGTGAAAGTAATATGTCTTCTATTAAGAAGGGAGACATCATTCAGATCCAACGCAAGGGGTTCTTTATTTGCGACTCAATAGGCGACTCGAACGCAGAGGCTAACACTGATCCTCAACCTCCCATGACTCTCATCTATGTCCCCGACGGAGGCAAAAATCTGGCAGCTTTGCCTTCGAAAGCTCGAGATTTGTACGAGGGAAAACTCGAGAAATCAGAACATTTGTCCCACTTAGCTGGCCAAGCCAAGCCGGCTGTGATTTCCGCGAATGTTACAGACGAAAATGGTACGTTCCTATGGGACGCAGTTGCTGCTCAAGGGGATAAGGTCCGACAGATGAAAGCTGAGAAAGCAGATAAGCTCGCTGTAACGTCTGAGGTGAAAGTATTGCTAGCACTCAAAGAAAAATATAAGGCTGCCACAGGAGTAAATTGGGACCCGAAAAACAAACCGGAGACAGCAGCTAGCACCGGCCCCTTGCCGGCATCAGTGGCTACCTTCGAAGAAACAAACGATACCTTGAAACTTTGGGAATCCGTAGAAGTTCTAGAAGGCAAGGTATGTTGCAAATGTATAGCTTGTATCTTGATTGTAAATCGTACGCGGTTATGCAATAATCATAAAATGATCACACTAAAATTCAAGTGCACCGCCCAGCGTGTTTCTTTAACGTGCCGAGATAATTAGGTTAAGTTCCGAAGTTAACGGTGCATCCAATGTTTAGAACGTACCCATCTAAGCCATCTGTACAGCCATATTTTTTCCCGTCTAATACATGTGTTTCGCCATTTTTTTTATTGTATATCTATTTAACTTTAGGTTCGCGACATGAAGTTATTTAAGGATGCTTCAAATGATGCGATTAAGGCTGAAATAGATGTCCTACTTAAATTAAAGAAGGATTTCAAAGCGATAACTGGAGTTGAATGGAGTCGTGATCAGAGGCCTCAGTCAGCCCCATCACCACCGGCCAATACGTCGGAAACTGGTGTTAGCAACAACGGAGTTGATATTGGCAAACAGATTAAAGATCAGGGTGGGTGTCTGACCACAAGATGTTGACCAAGATTCATAGTTTGCGTGCAGTTTTTTACTCAAGTACCATACATACTTCTGATTCGTTTCCATACGTATATAATAAAGAAAGGTAATCCGAATAGCGCACACGTTTTTTGTAGCTTCAAATGAGAAGCAAGCAAAAACGTTTCTATAAACTAAGTATTTCTCATAATGCGTTGCACAATGCGGAATTATTGTAATAATGTTAAAGACGTTCATATTTTTTTGTATAACTTATGAGCTGACCAAACCGGCATTGTATGACATGTTTCTTAGAATCGTTGGCTCTGCCTAGTAGCCTCGTTAGTGTGTAGCGAAGTACAAGAGAGAAAGAGACAAAGTATAGATATAAAACAGACATTAGTGTAAAGTTTTCGAAGAAATAGGCTTACAAATAGAAAGAAAGCAGGATTATATTTGCCATCAGCTTCAACAGTAACGCTAGTCTTTTTTCGCTGGAAATTTATTTATATAATTGTAAATCCCTTTCTATTGGGAAAAACAATTTTTTTCTACGAAAGGTATAGCCATATAGTAGCTACCAGTTCAAAAAATAAGTCCTTCAATAGCCGGTTATTAAAATCTTTTAATCGTTCACTATTTTTAATTGTTCTATCGTTTTTTTTCTCAGATACACAACGATTATAGCCACTCATGCGGACGTTGAACATAGTTTTAACATAAATGCAGATACTAAAAAACTTTAACATTCGATACTATTTATCGCTGAGGGGGGGGTCATGGAGTCTAGCTGGCAGGTGGCGCTACGTATCGTTCTATTACGGACTCCTTTCCTTTTAGCCCTTTCTCTCTACTTGTTGTGCCGTTTTCTGCTCATGTTTGAGCTAACGCGTGGCAGAAGATGCAGTACAGGCTGCAAGTTTACGCTGAGCTTCTGTGTCCGATCTAGCTTGCTAATACTGTGCTTAGGGCGTTAGTGGTAGTAGTTCGGCAAGTTGTTGGTATTTTTTATCCGTTGGTTGGGGTAGGCAAATGTCTTTATGCCACCACCTTTTTATGCAAGTAAATATTATATATGGAGATTCGTTAAGGTTGTGTTAATGGCTATAGAAAACGGAAAAAACGTCCGTAAGAGATGTAGCCTAAATGAAGGTGTGCCCTTACCATGCCAGTTTCCGTATCAGGGTGGGCTCAGTGTGATGAGTTTCCAAGGCCGTTGTTATGGTTCTCTGGGTGATGCTATTGCGGTTCAACAGCTGTAGACGAATGTGTCCTGTACATTTCAAGCAGCTTTTTTTCTCGGACGGAATAGGCAACGATCAGCATAGAAAATTGACGGATAGATTCTATTCAGTCAATCAGTGCTATATAGAAGCAAATTGTAACTAAAGCCTTTTTACGAGACTTACCAAACTCAGTGTTTTGTTCACTTTTCTTGATGAGAAGTGCTTTTGTTCAATACCCAATTTCAGCGAATTATCTTGTTTTCATTTTACGATACGTTGAACTCATTTTTGTTATGTAATTAAATAATTTTCTAAGTGCTATACATTAGAGCTAGTCGCTTCGGTAACTGCCATTCTTCCATCTTGAGGTGCTTTAACGTATTACGTCGTGTTAATAGTATTTGCGTAATATATTAGTAACTAAGCTGCGAGTAACGTTTGAGTAATTAGGTTTTTACTGATCTTGACAACGATTTAATAGGTCTACCTCGTAGAGCAGTTATTATCGGGGCCGAAGATTTTGATGCAATGGCGCTACTATGTTACTCCTGGAAGCTAATTAAACATTTATTAATCAGTGTCTTTGTTTATGTGAAGTCTTCGACCTCCTGTAAAAACTGGATAGTTGTTTCAAAAGAGGCTTAGTTGCTTTAATAACTACTCAACTGGCGAAGGCTTAACCTTTCCAACATCTTACTTGGAACTGATGCTGCTGGCATATCAGCGTGCGCATGGAGATTAGTGCAATAGTCATAGCTCGATTTAACCTAGTAATCTCTTCAAAACGGAGCTTACCTTTTTTCGGTAATAAACATAAGTCTAGAATTAGTCTTAAAGGTCTTCTTTTACACAATTTTTGGTTCTCCAAAGTCGTACCTTGTATTAACGAGAAATGTTGCTTGAGATCTGAATATGTTAGGGATTTAGAAACGTTAAATTACTAATAGAAGTCAGAAAAGTGCGCTAAGTTATTCCGGAAAATCAGCATATTGTATAAGTACTGTATTTTCAAACACGAGATCTAGGAAAACACGAAATAAGCAGAAGGTAATTGTCCCGTGTTAAAGCCTCAATATCAATATTCCTTCAAACGTGTTTTAAAAGATTACCTGTCTGATTAATACATATAACACTGATTTTTTTAAGGGGACAAGATTCGTCAGTTGAAAGCAGCGAAAGCTGCAAAAGAAATTATTACATCAGAGGTGAATCTATTGCTGGACCTGAAGGAAAAATTTAAGAAGGCAACAGGTGCTGAGTGGAGTCCCAACGTTGTGGTTACGATGGCTCTTGCTTCGACAGAACAACCATCGAAGGCTGATAATCTTTCAAGTAAAATTGTTACTCAAGGAGACAAGGTATTGAGTCGCGTATTTTGTAGTATGTATGAGATTTATTTTGCTGTACGTGATATAACCCAGCTTTTAAATTTAGTCAAGAGTAATATTAGAAATCCATTGTGTCCTCGCATTCCGTTGTTGCACAGGCGCATCTTTGAAATGTAGACTCCAGTATGTTACAGTCCTTACAAGAGACTGTCGTGGCATGAACAACTAAAAGTGGATAGCTTAATGATACGTGGATGTTTACAACATTTATCATAATTATCCTTTCCAGTGCACTGTTTTATGGAGGCTAGCGCCTAGGTAATAGCGCCAAAAACGCTATTACCACACTAGAGTGATCCGTTGCTTGTAGTAATTTTTAGAAACAATACAAACGAGTTGCCCGTGTTATTTTCTGTCATATCCATTATATGGTTAACACATTGAAGATGCGTAATCGTAATTGTAACTGTTACTGACAACAATTTCAGGTTCGTCAGCTTAAAGCAGCTAAAGCGGCAAAAGACGTTGTGCAGGCAGAGGTGGAGATTCTGCTTTCATTGAAGGCAGCATACAAGGATTTAACAGGCGCCGAGTGGAAGTCTCCCAGCGTAAACAGTCAAATTTCAACCCCAGCTGCTACTCAAACGCCAAGTGCCACCGCAGGTAACATTAGTAAAGGCGATTCAATTGAGAATAAAATCAAATTGCAGGCAGCGGGCGAAGCGATCGGCTCCCCTAAAATCACCAAAGCCTCAATGCAGAACCTGCAGCCAGAGGTCGGTCAGCTTTTGGAACTCAAAGAAAAGTCTAAGGAGAAGACGGGTGGAGACTACGTTGCGGTGGGTAAAGCTGCTCAGGGATCATCAGGTAAGCCCTCTGGCAGCAAACCAGAGAAGCAGCAGGCCCTACAAACCCAAGCTAATGAAATGGAAGATGGATCCAAAAAAAGAACACGGTTGGGACTTGAAGCGAGGAAGGAAGAAAACCTTTCTGATTGGTATTCTCAGGTAAGTTAGTTACCTTGGTAAACACATCCAGTCAATATGTTTACCAAAGCAAGTTATATATTCTATAAAACGAGACAAGCATCTTGAGAGATGTTCTGTGTACATATAGTGTACAGATGTAAAAGGACGATTTTTAAACTGCCGAGTACTGTGCCAATAGATGTGTGTATAATGTATGAGAAACCGCACAAACTTATAACTACGAAGTTGCATTATGTGTATCTGTTCGTAGATTATCACCAAATCCGAAATGATTGAGTACTATGACGTCTCAGGGTGCTATGTTCTCCGCCCAATGGCCTATGGAATCTGGCAACGCATACAGGAGTTCTTCGACGCTAAAATTAAAGAAATTGGTGTAGAAAACTGTTACTTTCCTATGTTTGTATCTAGTAAGGCGCTGGAAAGAGAAAAGTCTCATATTGCCGACTTTTCTCCGGAGGTAGCTTGGGTGACGAAATCTGGATCTTCGGATCTAATCGAACCGATTGCCATTCGGCCAACATCGGAAACTGTAATGTATCCATCCTATGCCAAATGGATTAAGTCCCATCGCGATCTGCCACTGAAGTTAAACCAATGGTGCAACGTGGTTCGGTGGGAGTTCAAGAACCCCCAACCGTTCTTGCGAACCAGAGAGTTCCTCTGGCAGGAGGGTCACACTGCATTCTCAAACTCCACTGACGCAATGGAAGAGGTACATCAGATTTTAGGTTTTTACACCGAGGTATACGAAAAGCTGTTAGCCATCCCTGTGATTCGTGGCAAGAAAACAGAAAAGGAGAAGTTCGCTGGTGGATTCCTTACCACTACCGTTGAAGCGTTTGTTCCTGCCAGTGGTCGCGGTATTCAAGGTGCTACATCCCATCATCTGGGCCAGAACTTCTCGAAAATCTTCGATATTGTCTATGAGGACCCAGACACGCGTGAGAAACGATACGTATACCAAAATTCTTGGGGCATTACGACACGAACCATTGGCGTAATGGTCATGGTGCACGGTGACAATAAAGGTTTGGTTGTCCCGCCTCGAGTATCGCAGTATCAGGCGGTGGTGATACCTTGTGGTATCACAGCAAGTCTTTCAGAGGCCGACGCAAAGAAGATTACTGACCGGTGCCAAGAGTTGACTGATGAACTCCAAAAGAGAGGAGTCCGAGTTCATTTGGACAGCCGAGAAAATTATTCGCCTGGTTGGAAATTCAACCACTGGGAGCTTAAGGGGGTGCCAATTCGTATTGAAATTGGCCCCAAGGATGTGGCTAACGCCCAGTTTGTCGCCGTACGTCGCGATAAGTCAACGAAATGTACGCTGAAGACAGCCGATGAAATTATTCAGCTACTGGACACAATTCAATCTGACATGTTTACTAACGCGAAAAAAGAAATGGATGGGCGTATTAAACAAGTATATAACATGGATGACTTCGTTAAGTTTCTCGAAGCAAAATGTCTGCTATGTACTCCGTTCTGTGAAACAGAAGCCTGCGAGGATGAGATAAAAAAGATGTCGACGCGCGAAGAAGTCGAACCGGGAACTCCTGCTATGGGCGCCAAATCCTTATGCATCCCTTTTGAACAGCCGATGGAAATCACCGATAGAGATAAGTGTGTAAGGTCAGATTGTCCAAACAAACCAAAATCCTACACTATTTTTGGTAGAAGCTATTAATGGTTCAACCCTGTGTGTTCTATGTAAACATTTTGTCAAGAAAAGGAAGGGATATTATAGCTATGGAAGAACTGCATATGCCAGATTTTGTAGCTATGATAAAACAATAATTAAAAATGTATGTCCTTTGGTAGCCTTGTGTTTTTCTTTAATTATTATTAGTAACAGCATTTAATAAAAAATATGAATACAATAATAGTAAAAAAAATATAGGAACTTTGTTGATCGCGGTCATCGTAAAAGGCTCTCCGTTATCATTAAAAGATATCCATCGACGAATAATTATTTGGCAAGAATTGTTCTGCAAAAACTATTCAAGGATAATCATCTCCTGAGTTTTAAAACGGTCTCACGTAGTACTTCTTGGTGAAAGGCGATATACAACTCAAAATGAATACCCTAAGCGAATTCGTAAATTCCACAAATAATGTTTTTTAGTCTATGCAGAAACTCTTTTGTTAAATGTCAACGAAAGAAGCTAGTAAATTCAGCAAGATGCCTAAAACGCTATATAAATGAAAACGCTGAATTGAAACTTATTATTAATATAATTGAAGCTAAGTAAAACGAGAAGTTGCAAATTTCTACGTAATAGGGTTGAACCTAATTCGATAGTGCAAAGCACTTGATCGGGATAATGTCCCAATAAAAGCATGCTGCTATGTCTCAGATATGTATTTGCTTTTGTAAAGAACTCTATTCCTTACGAATGCTTAAATTAGCAATTACGAACAAATTGCGAGCGTGAACTATAAAACGGTACATCATCGTGTGTTTACACTGTGATTCTATAATACTAACTTCATGATAACTGCAATAAGCACTTGTTGTATATAATATATATATATGTGTGCACACAATAAAACGTTAACTACTCTTGTAGTATATATATATAGCATTGACAAATCTCACATTTCTAGAACGCGTTTTTCAACCACCAATGGGATGAACATATTTTCTCAGTGTACAATTGCGCAAAAAAGATTTTTACATCCTAAACATTGGCAAAAAGATGCATAATAGAGTGCTTATTTACGGAGTGCAATCACTATGCCAAAATACAAGAACAGGCATAGTGATACTTCACCAAAGAAACAGTCGAATTGGCGCGGTGATCGTAGCAGTTTTTACCGGTGGGATTGATCAGTCAGACGCAACAATGGCTCGAGGTACGAAGATCGAGAACAAAGCAGGTAGGGATATCTCATCTTATTATCAGCTGCGTTGTGAAAACTTCTGTCATTCGTGACGTCAGAGCTGCTAATACCATCGCTGTCATCCATTACTTAAGAATCGCCAGGCCTTATTAATACCAGATTTCGATAGCTACAATAATGTGTACGTAATGTGATAAATTTTGGTTTCGACACCAATTTCAACTCTTTATGACAATATATATTCAAACAATATAAAACACAATATGCAGTACTTTCCTTCGATTACGCACGGGCTGTTCACCACTTCGCACAAATTTGGGTCTCTACGCCAGACGGCGCCACAGCCCGCTTCCAGTAACCCCAGCGAACAGCCCTTTCTTTCCAACTGCCGTTTATCGGATTCAGTAGTTTTGTCACGTTATTCTGTTCTTTTAGTTAGGATTGTATATCGCGTACCAAAGTACGGCCGTATACACACTATACTGTGGGCTCATTGTTACGGTCCACTTGGGGATAATCAGTTTTTCTGATACTGAGTGCTGATGGTGGTGGCGGTGACAGAGCTGTTCCTATTGCTTGCCTATAAATTGTCACACTTGTTCAAAGCCATCGAATTATAAACCAAATTTGATTGCTACTTTTAAGTAGAGTAAAACCTCATACAATACGTGAATTACATTTTTATGTTTTTGTTATGCGGTCGTATATGGTTTGGTACTAAATGTTAGCTTTGGCACAAACTAAAATGATCGGTATAGCTAGAACGTCGACAATAAAGTAATGACCGTTGCTTTTGATGCCTTACAAATCTTGATCCACTAAGTTAACGTATTTTCTGGTAAAGGCAAATCATACCCTTCAATTATAGAACTTCCTTAATTGGTGTTTAATCATGATGTATTAATGTGTTTCCCAAGTGAAGAATCTTGCAAATTATCCCGCTGGATACTGCTTCTGATTGATTCGGCATATTGATATATAAAAAAAATTGTGTGTTACGGTTATCATGAGTAATCTTCGTGTCTTGCATAATACATGATATATATAATCATGTATTGAATCTATGTATATATATATGATTGAACGCTAAGAGTCATTTTCATTCATGAGACATTCATGTAAACATCGGTGAGAAAGAAAATCTAACCATTCTTTTTTTAGCGGAGTTCTGTCGGAACAATATTGTGGTTATTGTTCGTCAGCATTCTGCGGGAGACCAATTAGGTTCTCGGTAATAGATATTTGATCCTCACCGGTTGTGTTCTTCGAACCAAAATATAGCATCGAGTTATATTTGATCGTATCAATTTTACTGTCTGATACGTCTCACTTTCGGTTGATTTAAAAACTCCATTTTCCACTAGCTTCTAATCGAATAAAGCAACGGATACATATCAGCAATTCGAGATTTCGTCACACTCTCAAGTAAATTGGTTCATGCGAATTGGTATCATTGTTATTCAACTCGTATCAATCTGGTTGTTTGTAAAAATCCAGTCAACTGACTAAAAAAGATAGGGAAAGGACGCTAATTAGAAGGGAAAAATCATGCTGTGCTCACATCTATAAATGACAAATGTGCGGTCTAAGAAACAACTATTCTAACACTGTACTAACAGATTGTTCTGGCTTACCAATGTATACTAAAGTATTGTTGATAGGTCGTTTTGACAACTCAAGTATCATCTGAATTGAAGAACCATGGGCCACAAGGTGTTGCTCGGATAATACGCCTCCTATTATTTATAAACGTATTTTTAATTACCTTGTCAACGATGAATTTTTAAGTGTCTGCCATTGCCTACATACGCAAACCTTCCTAAACCAGGAAGGTTATCACACCGAAGATTTTCCAGGATTTCACGGCATTGGTTCAAGACAGGTACAAAGATGCTGGGAAATGATTGCGTTATCGCTTGCTTATAATGATTCTGAAGAAATTTTAACGGTGGGATTGGACTTGGAGAGTTCAACTGCTGCGAACCCTTAAAAAGTTCTAACATTTCTGGTGTGCTGGTGAACATACAAGACGGCCTACTTCGGTTCCAATAAGATAATGGTACGGTTGCAAAAAATGTATCAATTTTTGCTCTCAGAAGTACCGTGGTTAAACAATTTGTCACCGAGATATCGAGCACAACATTTGGTTTTTAGCGACCACACAGTTTTACGTTTGAAGCCTTAAAGGGCCTTGCGGATAATTAGAATACGAATAATTGGGCGACAAATGGGTCACGGCTCCTCAAAAAAGTTTCGACCCATTCAAGTTGTTTTCTCAATTCGGCCGCCTATAATGGCATCACATTTCCAGAGCTGGCACGTATGTATCCTGTATAATAAGTTTTTTGCCGTCAACGACATTGTTGATGGAACGAAGTTTCTCGGTAAAAATTAAGTGTTTGTAATTCATTTTAGAACAAACCTTTTTCGCTATGCATTGCCTCCAACATCAAAGCAAAATCGTTGTCAATTTCGACGCTAAACAGAGCTGTCCTCGTATATTTAAGCTTGGCAAAACGTCAGAGATTGACTCTTTTTGACATGGTATAAGGTGATAGCTCGCGGCGGCTTCTACTCAAAATGATGAGTTTATGCATCTCAACTATTTGATTATAATTTTTTGATACAGGAGCTCATAAGTTCCATAAGTTCTTATGATGCAATAAATATGCGATCTACTAGTATATGTATTAGTATGAAATGTTCGATTATGCGGCAAATCGATCGATAAGGTACTGAAGAGTCGTTGTGAAGTACTTCAGTTGTATTTTTACAACACTTATATAATCAATTCAATCGTCGCAGGTGTTAGTTATGCATGGTTAATAGTTATTGTTTTAGTAACAATTTCTGTAAAAGCACTCAATAAGTAACTTGTAATTCGTATAACGTAGATTTTCTTTCATATTTCAGTCATGCGAGAACACTGTGAAAGATAAGCTTAGGTGCTTTATTTTGACCCAGAGTCAAGCACATCTCTTGGTTGATGCTTAGTCGAGCTAATTATTTCAGACATTGAATCGCACTGGAAATGATTGATTTTAACATTGATAATACCTCGTTTGATCTTGATACAAACAATATAAGGCCGGATATACCAGTATCTATTAAGTGGGCGCATTGGTAAGGTCGCTGTATTCTACAACGTTTTCTTTCCGTTTTACCTTTCCACTTTCAAATGATAAAATTTGTATTATATTGTAAAGATTTTTTATTAGAAATACGTCGTTGTTAAATGTCTAGATCGGCCTAGGTAGCCCAGCAGTTCGGTCCCGAACTAAGTGTGTGCCGATATATCAAAATAATGATACCCAAAAAATGTAAAAAAAAGCGATCACAAAGCTTTTAGTTATTGCCATTCTGAAAACAACTACTAAACGATTTTAAATCAAGTTCCAACAGGAGAAACTTAGACAAAAGTGTGTGAACACAAAATCAGTACTATATACGAATAAGAAGTCGGCGGGTCACTTTATTCGACTTAGTCAATTTGACGCAATAATTCGTATTATTTTGAAATAAACATTAGAAGTAGTTCAGTAGTCTGGATATAAGCGAACAGGTGCATCCATTAACAGTACGAGGGTTCGTTCTTCGGAATTCTAGCCGACCTCTTCTCGATTATAGCTAATCAAGATCAATCTCTTATTTAACTAGGTTATAATGACAAATTTTACTGAAGTTTATTTACATATACACGCACAACCAACTCGACTAAGAAATAGGTAAATCTATATAAAAAAAATTAATGCATATATTTGCCGAGCTAGCTAAATAGTAGGTAGAGAAATAAGCTAACCTCTGTCGAATCTACCGAGGGACATTGATGGAGGAAGTTAGCAGTTAGCAACGTACACTTCTACGCCTCTGTAGTCAGCAAATACTATATGCACTTTACTACAGCGCTATATAATTGGAAATCTCCAACCATATAACAGTGGGTGCGGGACGACGCCCACAACGTAGATTTAGCAAATTCAAATAATACCCTTCAGGTGCTTATTTGATAGAAAACAATGAGCATTTTTAGATAGCGGTTTGGATTCATTTTTGACATCATGGCCAAGAAACATTATATACAGTATAATATTTTCCCTGGGATCGTTTTTACTTTCGAGCTGAAGAGTAGAGGGTAGGTAGCACGAACATGTACGAACTCCTGAACTATAGAGCAGTTCCACTACCCTGAAGACCATCCCAACAGATAGAATTCGTATTTTCAAGCCTAAATGATAATAAAGCTTTATTTCGGTGTAAATTCTTTATTGATTTGAGTTTTTCGTTCTGTTAGCCAACGTTTGATCGTGATTGTCTAGACGAGTAACTAACGTAGGATGGCTGCTACGTTTGTCTACACTGGCTGCTTCCACGCACAGCTAGGATGTATTGCATATTGAAATTTTTGGTTTATACAAATATATATAATATCTATATAAAGCTATTGAGAATTAACGCAAACATAGTAGAAGCTATTATAACACAATTATTCGGGAGGTAACTAGGAGCTAAAGTATGAAAAATCTGAATATTTTTGTTCTGAAAAATCGCCTAAAAATAAAATCCCTAAAGATGTATTGGCGCTACGTTTTAACTAAATATACAAAGAGCTATCGAACGCAAATATATCGTAAACATTCTAGATTTAAATTTAGAGAAAATTACGCTTAAAAATGAGTTAGATACGCCAAAAAATTTGAATCTAAAAAAATTACATACCAGTAGAAAGTGTCTTTCAAAAACCTCGTAATTTGTAAGAAATGCAATAATTCCAATCAGCAGTTATTCTTTACGTCACGTGATTTCAATTACAGTACGAATTCGATGTCCAGACCACTTGTGAACTCATGTAAAGGCACTTCTATCGTTTGTTTTAACGCTTTCTTAATGGAGAGTGATTGATTTGACGTTATCATATCAACATTCCTTTATTTATTACAGTCTAGCACATAGTGATGCAACACACTCAAATCTCAGTTACAGGGTTTTTGTCCTAGACACTTGTGCGCCAATCCGCTTGTATGAAAGTGTGTCTCATGGATGGCAGTGGATGACCGAAACGATTATATGAACGCCCGTAACCTTCCCGAACAAACAGTTCAAATTATACAGCGTCTAATTTTTGCGTGTAAATGTTTATATGGTAGTTCTGCGAACAAAAAAAAAAGTGTAACGATTGCATTTAAATAGTAATTTATAGAACCAACATATAAACCCCTCATGTGCGAACAGTAGACCTTGAAGAAGTATTGCGCAACAAACATATGTAGAATTAAAACGAAATATAACTAAGATTTATCTAACTATGCAAAGTGAACGGGGCCCATGCTTTTTAGAGAGATACCTCAGCTTCAAAGTTTCTTCGAAGTGCTCACACCATATTGTTTCGTGAAATTGCCGCTAAGGGCATTGTTTTACTTTATTCTCAGGCAAAAACAATATATTTATAAGGGGCGGCATGAATTCGAATTTATTAATATTATACTTAGATACCTTTAAATAACATTCTAAAAATAATACGCACAATTTGATCTTTAATTATGACATCAAAATGAATGGTACATGTTATATGCTCTCAATTTTTATAGGGAAGATTTTTGCGCACGCGTTTCCAGAAATCTCTGTGGTGCTGAGGCTGGCAGTAATGTTGCGAAAGGAGCCCTTTGTTTAAGATAAATACAGTGCTTTTTGTCGGGCTCGTTGCAACTATTTTGAGACCGCTAGGCAAACTGCAAACTGGTACTCCGGCTCGGCCTGCAACCAGCCCTGTAATATATATGTCCTCGATATACAAAAACGGAGGATCAAACAGATACTTCAGTAATCGCTCGAGTGCCATCTCGGTGAGTATGTACATGGCGCCTCGCACATGTGGCGGGAATATATTTGAAGGGAATTCATGATACGTGAGACCCCACTTCTTGCATGCTGAAACATTACAACGCGGCACTGTGTATGTGTCCTGATAGAGTCCGTAAATATTGCCATTGGTAAAATGGTCAAGGTAGCTCAACAGCAGAGGTGTATTAACAAATGTATCATCGTCCGCTTTAACGATGAGTCGACGGTCTGGCCAGCGATGTTCACTCGCCCACAACATTAACGAAATCACTTTCAGCGTCAAATTTCTGTAGGTGTCACTAAACCCTACCTGTACGATATCATCAAACGATTCATGTTCAGCTTCTATGACCCTCTGGTGATACTTTGCTCTGGTGCCGTTTGGAACACCTACAAAAAAAACGACGCGAATTGTTCGAGTCGTCGCCCACGTGTCTCGAATAGCTTGTCGCTTATCAAAATTTCCGGGAGCCGATGGCACACATACGAGGATACTGCCGTCTGTGGGAAACTTCGCTGTCTGAAGCAGTACTGGCATCTCGATGTTCCAGGAACGCTTTCGCGCTCGTTGACGACCATCGAACCCCATTATAACAATAGCGAAAATGAGGAGAATACCACCTCCGAGGACTGAAAGAAATCGGCGTCGGAAACGGCACCTCATCTAGACGGTTTATTTGACAGTCAGATTCATATGTCAGGCAAAGTGAGCCTTTGTTGGCTGTCCTCAAAGCAGGCGATGGTCAGTAATGAGGTGCGTTATACCAATAGAGGTTCGTCGTTCACCTGATTACCTCGTTTCATTAAGGCTTCCTTCAAGTCCATTTCAGTAAGCGCTTTCATAGCGGTCGAAAGTACATTACATGACACCGAAGCGGGGTACGTCGACAGGAACAGAGCATGCTTGGTCCATAGAGATTACAGTACCTGAAAGCAGCTGCGGTTTAAATTGATCAAAGTAAAAGCATGTCTGCGTTGCAACAAATGTGTTTTCTGTTTGTAAATAGAACGATGGTTCATAGCATGAGCAGATAGTAGACAATATTACGTACATTTCAACTCCGACCGGAAGTTTTCATTGAAAAAATGTGAAACAGCTTCGAATATTACAAATAAACCTTACGAAATGTATTTCCACTTGAGAATCGGAACCAAACTCGGTCACTCTAGAATCATTAGCGTGTCACACTATTTCTCTTGTGATAGAAAGATCAGTGTACCACCCTTTGATCGAATATCGTTCGGAGATTGACGACAACGAGCTCGTCAATGACCTGGTAATCTTGGCTCACAAAACAAGTATATTAAATAGTTTTACATGACGGTGATGAACATGTAAGTGTACCTGAGACTCTACATTGGAATTATGTGCGACACATCAGTTTATACGGATTTAATAATAGTAGACTCCTATTGAACTCAATAGAATAGCTGCGAGTGATTTTTATTTTATTCTAATGCAACAGCTAGTAATGCGGACACCGCTAGTAACCCGCTGACACCATTATTGGAACTATACATTATAAATGGATGGAGTTGGCTTCCATATACATATACAGTGATCCCAAATATGTAGAAAAATAATTGACATTGTACGATTTACCTTTGTGTTCTTTAATATCCTTCGTCTAGGTTAGCCCTTAACTGAGAGATGATATTCGATAACGCACGCTAAGAACGGACCTGTTACACTGGTATAACATTAATAACGATTACGTGTAATTCAACTCGGCTAAAAAAAGGGGATACTTTATGCGGTGCAGGAGAAGTAAAGCTTCCTCAATTGTAGATACGAAGTCGGTAACTGATGTGATACATCATCTTAGTCATAGCCATAACAAGTTTCATTCTAAACTCTGTTATGGTTTCTCTTCCGTTAAATTTTTTGAAATCCAGACCCTAATCACTGACTATGAAATAGCCAGGTTTATAATTAATGCACTTGAATGTATTGCACTATGTTGATTAATTTACATAACAAATGGAGTAAGCAACATTTGTACGGAACTGTACCTTATAGCTGATGACTATTACCTATTTTTTTTAGTGGTATAATAATAGTCATCAACGACACCTGTATAGGAAAAAAAAATATAAATGATGTCGAATGGATATTGATCACGGATTGGCACGGTCTGCTTCATGACTTGATTTGATCCTCTTCACTGTCCTGTTTGCGTGAATATGTGGTCCTTGAATTTAGCTTATTTCTTGCAATTTTATATATACATCTTTGCTGATCTAAGATACGATTATCCAAAACGGTTGCCTGATCCGGAGTTCTTCGCGGATTCATTGAAGTGCCCCGAGGCAGCTGCAAACGGGGCACGCCAGCTTGCTCAGTAGCTAGTCCGGTGATCTAAGCGTCCTCGGTGAATGGGAATGCTGGCTTAAACAGACTCTCGTAGATTTGGTAGAGCGCTCGTTCTGTGATAACAAAAAATTACTGGTGCAACAATTGTGGAAATATGTCAGAGGCAAATCCACCTTCTGTGAAGCCCCACTTGCTGCACCATTCAGTTATTAGGATATCGGCCATATCTCTTACCGTTCCCGAAGTTTTTTACAGTCTCAGATAAAAGAGCCATGTTAACAAACGTTTTGTCGTCCGCTTTGATGAGCAATTTCCCTCCGTTCTGTCGCCAATCCATGACCCGTTGAACTAAAACAATAGACTTTAGCGTAGGATTTCTATAATGGTTTGCCAAATTGATCTGTATCATATCGTCATACGAATCGCATTCTTTCTTTTTGCGTAAGATAATTGAATTTCATAGAGTAAACGCGTGGAGGCACGTTAATCTCATTGCGTGCTGAGTAATGACAAAGACACATAGTATAAAGTACGTTAACCCTTTGCATCGTTATTAAATTCAGCTATATTCGTCAAAATATGTAAATATATATATATTTTTTGCTTGCTTTAACTAAAGTTGTTAACTTCCCGGGAGTACACGGTGGACCAACATGAACACCTTCATACACACTTCCGGTAATGCACTCTTTGCTAAGGGGCATTTTTTTATCTCTTAACGAACTTGGAATTAATTATTTATTATTGTTTGACACTATGTATGCGCTGACAAAAACTACCTAGATCGTCTCATCGTAAACGTCATGTCCTAGCTTTTAGTACAAGAAATGTCTTGAAATTAAAACAAATTATTAGGAGAGACCGACCCTGTATAGACGAGGGCCGTTAACGTTGTCTGAGCGTAATTTCTCTGAGATGTATCAGTTCTGTTCTTAAACGACACAACGTTTATGCTAATGAAAATATAATGAGCGAACTAACCTGTATTAAAACGCCTGAGACAAGCAAATTTAACGGCGCTTAATACCAATGGTATACTCTCGTCTGTATTGAGGTGCTGCAAGAAGCACCGCTAAAGCGAAAAGAAGCTGAAGCAAAGCTAAGGCTGTAAAACTCTAAGCATATATTTAGGATAACTGAACAAAAACGAGGTGGACTTTTACAACGACTCTCGGTCGTCCCGATGAGATAACGTTCGACTTTGTTACCCGCTTATTATTGACTTATAAATATAATTAGAGATTCATTTTAGTTAATCGTCTCGTTTATCATGTGCCTTCAAACCCTTTGACCGAACTTCGAGTTGAATTCTAGTCAGTGTATAACAGAAAGCTGGAGAGGTCACTCCTACTGGGCTAGAATCAGGCTTCTGACCTTTGATTGTAATTCAAAATGGCTGCTCGTTAGTCTCTGCCTGTCCAGACAAGTCAGCTATTAGCCAATGTCAAACAAAAACTGATTTTACCTGTTGAGTGTCGTATTTGAAAAGATTTCTGCACCGCGGCCTAGAGCTGGGCACGCGAGATCCCTGAAACGCTTCGTAAAAGCACTTTGTTTCTCCAACCATGAATAAAGTAAAGAAAAGAGGAAAATTCCTTCCCTCTTGAGACCGACGTAGATCGATTGAGATTTTTCGTATACTCGTTCGTGCTAGAAAGCAAGACGTTTTAACCATACGACTTCTATTTGCGTCCAAAGGTACACTTGACTATCGTTTCATTATTGTTTCTATAAGGTATAAATGTAGAGAGCATGTGTTTAGCAGATCTTGTAGAGTGGTAACGTAGCCGCCCTCAACTCCTGATACATAGTTTAAATCAGCCAGTAATCGAACCTATTATTAGTTAAACTATTACTAAACCTGTTAATAAACAACGAACTATCAACGGCGGCACTTTCGTTCGTAATATAAATGCTTGCTTGTTAAAATACTATCCATCGATATTATACTGCTCATAATTTATACGATCCAAAGACAGTAAACAGTGTCGTTTCTATAAAGCTGTGACACAAGCACTTTCTTAACGATACAAAATCGAATCAAAAGCGACTATTACGTAATACCTGTCTTTGCCAATAGCAGTCGAGAAGACATGCATGTAGGAATTCTAAGATTTTCTGCCTTTACCTGTGGCTTCACTTACCCTAGGTAACGTGTTTAACTTCTGACCAGAGGCATTATGAAGTTGAGTAGTCTGTACGTTGAGATAGACTACATTTCGCCTCTCTAGTAGAAAAGAACGACCATTTTGCGGCATTCACGTCATAAAAACAGACCACACAGATAAAACCTATATAACGTATTAGCGATAAATCAGCCGTGTCACCTACAACCCATTCCATAGAAAATATGAACGATAATCAAGAGCTCCAGGCGTTCGTATGTATGCTGCCATTTTCCTACGTAATAAAAGACTAAACGCAGCTTATTATCTTGCCAAACCTTTAAAGGCACTTGGTTTCAATCAACTTTAATATATTTCATCACAACATGTTACGTACTGTAAGCTCTAATCAATACGCTTTAGTCATGTAGTAAGTGACAGGGACCAATGCGTTTAGTATGACTTTGGTTAAACCAAATTTGAGAAGAAACATATTCAATATGAAACAAAAAAACAAACATTAACACGCGTTAATATATTTTAACATTAGAATAGCCACCACCTGGCGTTGTTTATCTTTATCTATAGAGAAACAAATCTATAATTAAAAGCTGTCTTATTATGCATACGTACTTCCGACCATTTAGAGAGCAATGTGGCTAAAGATCAGTATGGCATAAAGTAAGACAAGTGCCACAAAAGATTCAGTTCTTTTATATTAAAAAGAACTGGAGGAGAGCTCTCTAGACTCTTCATCGTTGCCTCTAAGGCTGTTAAAAGAAGTCTCGTTGTCTTTTCACTAAATCAGTTTTTGACAGCTTCAAATTAATTCGGTTACTTTCCCACCTAGTACATCTAATGAATATTTTTTTAAAATTTATCTTTATTTATAAAGAAATCAAAGTTTATAGATTAGTTATTGTTTTTAGCGGTATGCTTAAATCGGCAAGGCATTCGTTATATAATCGTGGTCACAAGTAGTAACGAATCCTACTAGACACACAAAGAATTTTTTCAAGAGAGTTTGAATAATACAACTTAGGCTTGACCCGACACCACTGGGGCAAGGACTATTTCATAATGGCCGAGCCTAGCGCTGAGGGTTGAACCTAGTTCCACTAAGATCATTATTACCCACTAATTCGCAGCTCCTATCCTATGCTTAATTCTGTAATCATTTGATGATACTGCGGATTGGTAAGAAGGAATAGCAAGTACTGTTAAATCGATAAGTCGGATTCACATCAGTTAGGTTCCGCACCGCACCAGAAGACCTAATTCCTGGCGAAGAGATATAAAAACCTTCTGCTCTACTTTCGAACCCTATTTGTTGGCATTATCTTTCTCCTCTGGAAATGGCGATTTACAAAAGTATTTTTTTCTTTAGCTATCCTGTATTTGCCGCGCTAGTATTCTTGAGACGTGCACATGTGACGCGTCAGCTTTCTTAGCTTTTTTTGTCAAGGCTCTCTTTACCTCTGCATCAAAGAAAATCATCCTAACGTGTTTCAGCGCCTCGCATGGCGCCAGAATATGAAATGCGTTGTCATCTACTCTACCCGTGCATGGCCGGTGTGCGCCCTAAGGCGGCTTCCCTGTTCAGTGCAGGCGATGTTAAAACTGCCAGTGCGCTGTTGGACTTGCCCAGGTTGTCCATCGTTTTTAACTTTTACATCCCATAAGATAGTTCCCGTTAACACGAGGTCCACTTGTTTTGATTGT